GCATAACATGGAGTGTGCAAATCCTTTCCAATTTTGGAAGGTAAGATCACATGGCTGAGCACTACAAGTGAGTGTGGGAATGGTCTCTGTATCTGCAGAAATGGTGGAGATATGTCAAAAACTGCAATGCTGTACATGGGCACTTAAGAACTTTAGCCAGCACTTAACTCACTCCCTTTCTTTTTCTCTGGCACTGATGACTTGTTCTTGTGCAAGGGATGACTGCTGACATTCATGGCTGTCCTTCTTCACATGAGGGCTATGGTCTTCATCTCCATTCATCAGCTGTATCCATGTCCACCTCACCAAACACCTTTGGTGTGTGACATTGCATTCCAGATTCCACTGGTAGGACACTCCCTTTTTTGTAAGGTCATGAAGGGGTTGAGCGACACTGGAGAAGGAAAGGATGAACTTGTGATAGATGTTACAGAACCCTAGGAATCCATGAAGTCCCATTAGGTTGTCAGGGGCTTCCCAAGTACTTATGGTGTCAGTCTTCATTGGTGAAGTTTCCATATGCCCTTTCCCAATAATCATTCCTAGGAATTCAATTTCTTCAGCCTCAAAGACACATTTGCTTATTTTGAGGTGAAGGCCTTCTTTCTCACAAATCTTCAGGAATTTGCAAACCCAAATCCAAAGTTCTTCCTTTGTTTTTGCATGAATAGCGACATTGTCCATATATCTGACCTGTTTTCCTTGTTGGGACTCAAAGGTTTTATCCATGTACCTTTGGAAAGAAGGAGGTGAGTTACATTACCCAAGGAACATTACCATGGGTTTGAACAACCCTCTTGGTGTGATAAATGCTCCTTTCCATTTGTCTCCTTCTTTCACCCAAAGGTTAGTAAAACCCCATCAAATGTTGAACTTTGCATAATATTCAGACTTGACAAGTTCGTCGAACAGCACCTGGGCATTTGGCAAGGGGTGTGCATCCAGGATCGTGAAAGAATTAAGATAGTGGTAGTCCTGGATTAGCCACTTCTTCCCATCTTTCTTTGCCACGAAGAACACCAGTGCTGCTTGAGGTGATGTTGATGGTTGAATCTTCTTACACTTTAAGTTCTCTTCCAAGAACTCATCTAAAACCTTTAGTTTGTCAGGGGACATAGGATATACTGCTGCTTTCTTTGGTTTGAAGTCATCATGAAGTCTTATTTCATGATCCAAACCTTCCCAATGTGCTGGCAATGGGATATCATCCTCTGTGAACACCTTGGCAAACACCTTGTAAAGGTTGGGGAGTTTGACCTCTTCTTTTTGCACTGCCAGTGCAGCCTCGAGTTCTGTGGACAAGATGGTTTTATTTATTTTTACTTCAGGAGTTTCACCCTGATCCTGGTTTTACCACTTCCAGGGACAGGCTGGAAGATTCCTTCTTACTTGTCCATGTCTGAAGACACCACCTGTTTGACAAAATAGTCAGATCCTTTAGGATACACATACCCATCATCCCAGCATGTAATTTTGCCAGGTCTCCCAGTTCATTCTTGGTTTGAACTCCTTTAGGAATGGCATCCTGAGAAGGACATGTTCTTTTCCTATGAGAGGCCCAATGTAACATTTGACTCAAACTGTGCACTCCTTGATCTCCATTTTCAGAGTCACTTTTCAGGGTGACCCATTCCACATCCTTTCCAGGTAAACTGAGGTGGTCTTGAACTTGCTTTTTACCCTGATAGGTCAGGATCCCAAGTTTCTGGACCATTCAGTTCTGAGATAAGGGAGACTTCAGTGCCTGAGTCAATACAGGCCCATATTCCTGCCTTGTAGTCTGGTAATATGACCAATCTGAGAGGAGAGTGAATTTGCATATTCAATTCATCATCTACAGAAGTACATTTAGTGGACAAAATCAAAATGGGACTGACTGATGCAGGAGATTCATCAGTCCCCTTTAAAAACCCAACAACTTCTGTTCCTCCACATTTGCTTCATGATCTCTGACATATGTGGTCTTCATTCTGTCCTCCAAGAGGACAATGTGGACATTGGATAGTTGAGTTTTCACCTTGATTTTACAGTCACATTTGATGTGACCTTTGGCTCCACAATTGAAGCACTTAATTTCTGAGCTGGAACATCTAATGCTCCATTTACATTTGTTGACATCCATTGCCATTGGGATCTCGGGAACCTCCACAGTAATGAATGAACTTTCTTTCATACTGAGATTCCTTCCCTTCTAGGATATGCTTCATAGCAATTGCAGTTCGGGCTTCTCCCGCACACTGGATCCACTCGATGACAGTAGACAGGGCACATCCAGAATTGAGAACCCAATCGCAATACTCCTTTTGCAATCCTTTTCTGAAGAAGATCCCTGCTTCATGTGATTCCTCTTTGAGTTGAGCCTTGTTAACAAGCCCTGTGAATTCAGTGATGTAAGCCTCAAGTTCTCATTTGCCTTGTTGGATGTCCAAGAGATGCAGAATTGCGAGGGTGGTCTGATCACCCAACTTGAAGGTAGCCTTCAACCTTTCAACGAACCTTTGAAAGGTGTCAGTATAGTAGATAGTACCATTGAGCAACTTGTTTTTGTTTTGATAGTTCTTGGTGAATGACACGGCTGTGCCCTTTGTCATATAGGTAAGGGCAAATGAAATCTTGAGCAACTCTGAATTGTAAACATGCTTGTTCAGGTTCAGATAACCTCCAACCTGTGTAATCCAGGTCTGAAGCCCATTGTGGCTTCCATTGTATTCTCTGGGATGCCTGACATTAAACTCCTGACCTCCATTGGGTGAGCGGCTTCCATACACATCATCATCATTGGCTGGGGCCTTGCCCTTACTGGACCCACCAATGGGGACCTCTGGGGGAATTACCTTTCCAAAGTTCTGATGATACCAATCACACAGGGCCGAGTCTGTAGGAGCACCTGTTGGGAACAGATTGCTTGTACTTGCATGCATTGCCTGACAGAGCTCCTCCACCATGGTGATTTTTTGTTCTTCCAACCTCTGTCTCAGTTCCTCTTCCCAAATGGTCCTTGGGGGCATTTCAGGAACTGACTCTCTGTGACCAACTGTCATGGACATTTCTGTTTGATTGTGTGCTTCTTGTTCTTCTTTGAGGACTGATCCAAAAGAAGTCTTGGACTTCTGATCATCTTCTTCTTCTGAACTAAGCATGACTTCTGAATCCCTAAACCAGGATAGATAAGATAACCAGGGATTTGTTGCAGTTGCCAAAGGACCGAGGCATCCTAAAGGTATGGGTGGTAGTGGGGGATTCTGTCCAAGTCCAAAGGGGTTGGGGTGTGGAGGGACCAGCAGTCTTGGTTTCTGTGGATTAGACACTTTTTCAGATAGTGACAACAAAGGCCAAGGGAGGATTTATTTCTCAAAAGAAACCTGTCAGTGTAGATAGGTTGTGCATGAGTGACTTTATGCATAGGGAGACACAAGCACTGACTCTAGGGAGGCGATCTATTAAAGCCTAGTGGCTGCCTGTAGAGTGGTGAGACTGATTGAGGGTACAGGGATGTTTCTCGATGTTGTTACATGAGAAGATGGGACAAAGGCAGGTTAGTCTTTGCTTGCAGGGAGAGCAACAAGCCTTGTGCATAGAGGAAGAATGGGGATTAGTTTGTTGAAGTTCAGTAACCAGGGACAAGTAGACTTTTGCGAAGAGGTCAACAAGCCCCAAAGCTGCATGGAGTTTTTCAATTTTGTTATGCCCAAGCATGGTGACTTCTTCAAATGGAATAGGCACAAAGCATGTGAGGTGGGACCTACAGGGCCAAACATGTCATTACCCCTATGGCTGAATTATCACAGTAATCCAACAAAGGTTGATTCTGCTGGAGATCCTCTAGGGTAGTCTCATGGAGAAGGAACAAGGATTAGAGTGAAGGGATGAAGCTCAGTTGCAAGATATCAAAAAACTGAGGATACAAGGTAAAGTATGTGAGTATTTATACTCCTAAGTATGAGTACCATACCAGTCATGATGCATATCCACAGTAATCAACAGTTTGATCAGACAGACAAACAAGAAAGGAGGAGTCATACAGTGTCAGATGATGGAAGTATGCAGGGGAGCAGAGGCTATACCAGCCATGCAATCACAGCAAGGAGCCAGACACTGGAGCTATAGTACAACATATGAGCAATATAAACAAGTCAGCGGAACAACAAAGGAACAAGTTGTCCATCAGAGAGGGTGGTGGAACACCAGATCAATGGGGAGGTGCAGTCTCAACAGGTATTGCAAATACTGTGACAGTGGGAGATCTGAATGAGCCTTGCAGCATATGAGCCCCTAGGATGGCAATGATTATGAGAGACACAACAAGGCACGTGATGCACATGACTGTGAGAAGTTGAAAAAAGGCAAGACCCCTGAATGTGGGTGTAACATCTGTGATCAAATGCAGCTAATTCCCCTTAGCACATTTTCCATAATCAACAACATCAGGCACCATTGTCCTGCATTGGACCCCACATGCAGCTGATCCCAATTCCAGGCTTTGCATTCCCTTGGTGGCTATATCATTCCAAGGAATACACAGTGGATTCCCAAAGATTGCAAGGCAAGGGATTGTTTTCTGTGGCCTGGGATTTTTTTAAGGTATGCTGCTTATTCTTGTCACTGCAAATAGTTGACGTTGGCCCAGGGCTTATGGCCACTGCCTGATGCACCAATCACAGACCATCTCGATGGCCATATCAAGGAGCAGGTAAACTACTGCATTGACAATATTCAGAAATATGCCAATGTTGTCAATGGTCAGGGTTGACAAATTGGCCATTTCTATGCTAGGTGGTGGGCATTGTGCAGGTTGTTGGGCATGCTGCTTCAATAGTTTACATGTTTTTGACTGTGGAGTTGGTTGAATATACATTGCTGTGAATGTTGATCATTTATGAGATACCACCCATTCACATGATGTCTGAACCCCTGCCCATCCATGCAATGTCTGACAATCTGCCCATCTGCATGATGGCCTGAGTAGGTTTATTTTTTTTGCAGTTTATGATGCACACCCTTTAGCTCTGAGTACCCACCCAATCTATGATGTCAAAGCACCTGCCCATTTGCAAAATCTTGGCAACACCGCCCACCTGAAGTTCAAGAGCCAGCATATCCTAATAAAATACAAGATCCACATTGCCTACTAAATCTTACATTAAATTTTGCAGCTTCAAATCAACAGTTCTCCAGTTGCAACTGGTCTAGGTAGTAGGTCATCCATCCACAGTGATTGACACATGGGAACATGCACTGACTGATGTACATTGGCATGCATGTAGTATGCCAGGCATGCTCTGTCACCATCTACAGCTCCCACCCCATGCTCCAATGCTGAACCTGAAAATGCAATGATCATCCCTGGGTTGTAGCACAGCTGCAGATTCAATGTTGGAATGACAAAGTCCAAGGGCAGGTAGTTGCCCACAGTTACCAGCATGTCATACCATGGATCCTGTCCATTGATATCCCTGTGGTAACAAGTTGCCTGATTCACCATCATGGACATGCTGCTATATGTGGAGCTTCATATCAGCAGTATGGAGCTCATATCCAAATCTGCCTGCTGTTCTGCCTGTTCACCAAGGCAGATCAATGCTTCCCTGCCATCTGCATACATTTGCAGATGGATGACATGCAGGATCACAGATAACAGGGCATTGGTGTCAGACATTTGGTCAACCCATTCCCTTGTAGAAGTGTTTTCCATCCTGGATTTGAGCAGCCATGAGGCTTCCAGGAAGCCATTTTGGGGCTTCAAGACAGATGAGTGCTTTATTCACAAGGAAAGAAATGATCACCCACCCCATGACCCTGTTGAAACCATGCAGGTGACAGTTTGATGGCACCTTTCAACTCAGCATTATCACAGAAATATGACTTGTCCATCTGCCATGCCTGTGGGGAAGCCTTTATGCTCTCCTGCAGTGGTTCCCTCAGAAGATGAAGGCAGTTCCATATGTCAGCCTGCCATTGCATTAAGTCAGTAGAATATGAGATTCTGCATTCCCTTACCCTTCTTTTTGGGCTGAGAGCATCTGGCAAATACCAAATGTGGATGGTGTTTGAGTCAGTCACCAGAATGGACAGCTCAGTCACTTCCACATATCTCTCAGCAGCTTCTGCATTGCAGGTTTTTCACCCCAATTTTTCCCAACATTGACTGTGGAAAGATGAAAACTTCCATTGCACCATTATGATGGACTTACTTGGGTGACAATAGGCCTGTGAGATTACTGATGATATGCAATCCACTTCACATAACACCAGAAACAGAATCAATATATCTGGCAGGGTGCAATGTCTGCTGAATACCTCCTCTTGAAATCTGGCTTTCATGTATGACACAATGCAGTCTGTTAGTTCCATTCACCATCTGTGGGGGTTTTAGACATGTCTTGCATAGTATTCATGCTTGGGGTGGATGAGGTCAGAGTTGTATAGTGGGCAAGCCACTTGCAGCTTGTTGGAAAATTACAGCATGTCAGGACACTTGCCTCAATATTTTGCTGTGATCTAATCAATATGTTGTGATGCTATACATGCTATTGGTGTTGGGCCTGTCTTATGTTGTGACAGGGGTGGATCTTACTAGATGGACCTGTCCTTGTTCTATGGTGATATAAAAGATATTACTGAAGGGCCCATTGATATGTTATGACCATATAAATAATGCTGCTGAAGGGCCCATCCTTATGTTGTGACCACATAAATGATACTGCTGAAGGGCCCTTCCATATGTTGTGACACTATAAATGATATTACTGATGGGCCTGTCTTTATGTTGTGATGGGGGTGCATCTTACTAGATGGGCCCATCTATGTGTTGTGACACTGTAAATGATATTACTGACAGGCCTGTCTTTATGTTGCAACAGGCATACATCTTGCTATGGATGGGCCCATCTATATGTTGTGACAGGGGTATATTATCCCAAAGATGGGCCCTTCCATATGTTGCCAACTCTGTAATCTACCATAGAGGGGCCCCTCTTTATGTTGCAATCTTCTTCATGATACAATAGGCAGGCCCATCCTGATATTGTGACTGGGGTGCACCCTACCATGGACAGGCCCATTTATGTCTTACAGTAGCTCAGCATACTTACTTAGTCATAGGCCCATCTATATGTTGCAGCATCCTTACCCTCCACAGGCCCTCCCATATGTTGTGGAATTGCACTTATGGGCCTGTGCATATGTTGCTCTCACTATAGGCCCTCAGGCCTGTCCATGTGTCATGGCTAATCTATTTAGATGGGCCCATTGCAGGGTCTATATAAGTGTTGGCATTTTGGCACACAGGCTACCTATATGTTGTGACTAAATGGACTACATGGGGTCAGCTAATTCACTGATCCCCAGTCATATTGCCACCAATACTAAATTCTATCCTTACTTCAGACACCATAGGTGCTCTTGATGGCACACATATTGCATGTGTGCCATCAAAAAGTGAATGGGATCTGATGTGCAATTGCAAAGGTTTCTTATCTCAAAATTGTCTTGTCACATGCTCACTCAATGGTATTATTACATATGTTCTTGGAGGCTGGGAAGGATTGGCCACTGATGCTACCATCTACCACAATGTGCACTTGCAGGACTTCATGATTCTTGATGGGCACTATTATCTTGCTGATGCAGGATATCCATCAACTCCACAATTACTTGTACCGTACTGTGGCCAACATTATCATTTGGCCAAGTGGGGTCAAGCTAACTTACAGTAAGTACTATTATATCCTTATGTACATTTGATTCTCATTCACTCCATACAGGCCAAAGGATAGCAAAAAACTCTTCAACCTTTGCCACACCATGCTTTGAAACAACATCAAGTGTAACTTCAGAATCATAAAGCAGCATTTTCACACCCTCATTCTTCCACCTGAGTATGATATGGCAATCCAATCATGGTTGCCTGCAGCTGCATGCTGCCTTCACAATATTATCCACCTCCATGATCCCTGACAATGTCAACATGCCAGATCCTGATGCAGTCAATGAAGAAGAAGTGCCACTCCTAGCACCCAAAGAAACTGATGTCAGAGACTTGCAAGATATTGCATTGAATGCTGAGTTGCACAGGCAGATGAATGCCTTGTGTGACATGATCACAATGCAGATGTGGGAGGACTATTGTGCTGAGCTTGTGAGGCATGGTTGATTCAGCCATTTGTAGTTTTCATATTTTTTGTATCACATACCTTGTATTCACAACTCTCTCATGAATGTTACCACTCCCAAACATTGTGACTCAACCTTTGCATTGTGATTCTCAACTACAGCATTGACTACAGCATAATGGCACAAGTATAGATAGACTACTTATCCCCCCCCATTCCTGCATATTCTGGAACCTGGCAGCCAACCACCTCAAGCCTCATCTTGACCCAAAACATTCTGTATGTTGGCAAGTGAGCAGTGGCATTCTTGTAACCTGTGACATAGGAAGGTTTCTCTTCAAATATCATTTGCAAGCAGACCAGGTTTCACTCTGAAAGGTTCTTCTCAAGCTTGAACATCAGCATGCAAACTTCATCTAGATCTCAGCTCTTGGATTGGTCAAGAGCAGCGAGCATCTTGGTGATGTTATCTTGCACACCAGTCATGAGATCCTGCACTGTGTCTTCAAGGCCAGCTGTCTGTGAGTGCTGCTTTGAGAACCAGAAGAACTTCCCCTGGAAGCTGTTGTGGACATGGTGTCAAGCTTGGCAGTGGCATCACTTTTCTGCTTCTTGCCATGAGATGACAAGCTGGATGAAGGTTTGATGGATGTGCTTACTGATGTCATCACAGAAGATGGTGGCAATGTGGGAATCAATGAAGGGGAGACCATGGGGTCAGGTAGGAGTATGGGTGGCACACCAGACTGGGCCTGCAAAACACCTGGTGGTAGAGGCATACCCTGAGCATTTACAGCAGGCTGCACATGTCTGAGGAGTTGGCATAATTTGACTTTGATCAGGAGACTCAGGTTGATATGGCACAAAGGTAAACTGTAAAGCAGCTTGCATTGGTGGCATGGGGGGAAAATTGGATGGTGTGGATGTGGAAGCCTGGGACCTTTGGGCAGGGGGTCAGGAACAGGTGGCATGGTGTGCATTGGTGCCCCTTGCCTTGTCAGGAAGGACAAAGTCTCACATATGATCAAAGTATTTGAAGCCCATGTTGCAGTACTGGGCAGTATCTGGTTGATTCTAGTGGACAGTCAAGGATTTGTGCACCACACAATGAGAAAATCCCAGATGTACCTTAACAATATCATCCATCATGAGTTGCCCTGTCCTCAGTTATGAACATTAGCACCTTTTGCTGCTGAATACACAAGCCCTGACCCCCCTGCCACAGCTGAAGCTGCATAATAATCCCATTTCAGCTGTTTATGAAATGAGTGATACAGAATGCAAGGATAAATCAATCAACACACACTTTCCCACTTGTCCTGACAGTTTTTTGCAGTTTTACAGTAGCCATTGGGTTGGACAGGTAACCAAGATACTAAATCATTAAAGTGACCTGCTTGAAAGGCCATACAATTGCCTGCCTTGGGTCAGATTTCCTCCACAAAATCAAGAAGTATCTCAACATCTGCATGGGGCCATACAGCTCACAACTTTGGCTGAGGCTCAGAGCTCAAACTGATTGATGGGGCCTTTCCCTTTGACCCAGAACCCCTACCTTCCATCTTGCCACAAAGTCAAAGTGAGCAGCAGGGTCAGGGACAGGAAATGATCTAGCTTGTGATAATGGTCAGTTCATCAAGGTGGCATATCATACTATGCATACATAGGGTAACTGTGAGTCATCACCTGATCAGTAGACACCACAGTCACAGATAGTCTGCAATTAGTCAACTTGGAAGTCTGCTGAACTCCACACTAGACTTGGTTTGTATATGTTTTGCATAAGGAAGCAGAAATTTCACTACCATTCAGGCCCTTAGAAGAGCAGGCATGTTGCCAGGCACTTAAAAAATTTATTCATTTTCTGGTCTCATTGTTTATTTACAGCCAAAAGGGAACTTCAACAGCCGCAGTGCCAGCAGGGGCAACAGACTTCCAAGGTAGCGATGCAGGGGGAGCAGACTCCTGAGGTGGTGATGCAGGAGGAGCAGATTCCCGAGGTGGTGACGCAGGAGGAGCAGACTCCTGGGGCGGCGATGCAGGAGGAGCAGACTCCTGAGGTGGTGACACAGGGAGAGCAGTTTCCCGAGGCGGTGATGCAGGCGCAGCAGACTCTTGAGGTGGCACCGTGGCAGCAGATTCCCCCAGCCTGGATGCTGTGGCAGCAGATGCCCCAGGCAGTGACACTGTGGCAACAGCTGTTCCAGGCATCGACACCATGGCAGCGGAAGTTGGCTTTGGACAAGATAGAGCAAGAGACACTTAAGACAGGTGAGGAACTCCACCTCGAAGAGGCCAGATTCCAATCGCTTTTGGCAAGATTCAAAGAAACTCATGAATCCACCATGAAGGACCTCTTGCCAAACTGTTGCTGAGGCTAAGAAGGTAAGTGCCGATTTCATCCAACTGGTCCCCTTATCTCACCCATTTCAGATGTTGGGATTCTTGGAGTGCACCTCCTGTAATGCAGAGACATGGGGTATGTGAACGGAGGTAAGTTACATGGATACCATTCATAATCCTGTACTTAACCCTCAGTTAGCACCGAATTCTTGAATGATTCGTCATTCCTCATCATGGTTGCTGTTGTCATAATCACGGTGTGCATTAGTGGGAACACGATGGTGTTGATTGTGGGGCAATCTCACCGAAGTTTGTACTTAGTGGAATCCCATCTTCTCAACAGATGGCCCTCATTGTTTCAATGCTATATGTGTGCCCAATCCATAGTAGTTTGTTTCCCAGGTACATTACAAGCAGGTTTTTTTTTTTTTTTTTTTTTTTTTTTTTTCCAAGATCCTTCTCTGGTTCCGGCAGAGTAAAGCATCACATAGTGCGGGCTTGTCCTAGGTTCCCGTCGAATCTGACGTCTCCCGCTGGAGTCACTTGTCCATTGACGGACATGGATGGAAGGCCACTGCAACCTAATTGGGACACAGGACAATCCGACGCAAGCCAAAATGCTACTCTCAGAGGGGATTGCGAGCGCTTCTAGCAATATTCCATACTGAAAGGCGTCCAGTAACCTCGATATCGAGGCCATTGTCCGAATGCAACGATGCCCAGTTACTATCGACCGCCACGCATTATTTGGCACGCGAACGCTGCTTTCACTGATCATGGTCGTCATATCGCTAGCTGGCGAGCTCGGACATGTCGCTGAGCTATAGCCTTACATACCGCGGAGTACATCTCGTCCTCTTCTTTAGATGAGTTATTTGCCATCGACGAATTAGCAAGTCAAAGACCTTGACTCTACTCTACGTTGGTCCTCTTAGCCCGGAGCTTCGGCGTTGCGCTTGTGGTACTAGCTGACCGGGAAGCTGTGCAATGTGCACCTGGTACCACACCAGCCTCGCGTTTCGTAGAGCCTCGACCAATACATCTTCCCCTGATGGCCCGGGCGACCACAATGCGATACGTCATGGACTAGTTCGATTTCAGAACTCGTGTGTACAATCCGGTCTAGTCCCGTTAAATGAGGCGCTGGGCTCAGGGTCACCATTGACTAGGGACCCGGGATTCGCTCATCACATGGGTGCAGGCCCTCCATGCAGCATGGTATGAGTGATATTAGCCATTTCAATTCCCCGACGAGCCCTGAACAGTCCCCTCTTCTGCAATTTAGTTTGCACGTTCTCAAACCTTTTTCGTTATCTCGCACGGCCGCATCGTAGGATGGGTTTCTAAATGGTGAATACCAGCATGTTCCGGAGCCGCGATGTCTGCCTGCAATTGATCATATCTACTGCAGTTTGCCTGATGATTTTACTTCGGCGAGGTCCCTCGACGCATCGTTTTACTCTGATGGACAAGTCAGCAGCGTTGCTGAATGTCACTTATTTAGCAAGTCATGATTCTTATGGATTTCGGAATTGTTCGGCCTTCGCAACCCACTGTCTGACTCTGAGATTAATCGTTTATACTATTTGCGGGTGCGCTGCATAGAATATCCGGCTATATAGAAGGTAAGCATACACACAGTCACTGTCTCGATGATAAACGGTGTTCCCTTCCTCCGATACTCTGTAACTTCGTCCGACGGATACCTTGTACGAATATGGCCGCGCGAGCAACTGCTGCTGTATCGCCGCGATCGGCGTTTACTTTCGTCCAGCAGGACTGGAATGGTCATATTGGTTTCTCAGTAGGAGACAGATGACTCTTGCGTCTCCGCAGTACGGCCTACAAATTGTCGCCGCGTGCTGTGGCAGACATTCCGCCACTGGGACTGCATCCCCAGCCTGTTAGGGAGCTATGCCGGATTTATATAAAAGTTGTCTTCATCGTGTGGTGAGCCATTTACTCATCAGTGGCTTGGCTTGGCAAATCAAACCCGCACCGATCCACCGAGGGACTAAAAACTCAGTCAAAAGTTCAAAACGGCTAAACAAGGACTTTCTTAGGTAATTTCCCGCGATGCAGGAGGATTGTAACTAGTGGAGGTCATGCCACAGTACCACGACCTGATTCGTATGAGCAACAATGCGGTCATGCCTAAGGTGATGCTCCTGGATGTGACGGACGTAGTTGTGCCGTGTGACTCCGCTTCCGCAACCCTGCCACATACAAACCAGCCGGACCCCGCGAGCCAGCCTCACGATTCCATGGACGTCTCGAAAATGGTCCGAGACAGCGCCACAATTGATAATTTCCAAGCATTCCCAGCCATCTGGATCCGTGTAGAGACAGAAGGTAGACGGACAGCGGATATAACGCCTCTGTCGATACGATACAAGATGTCAGTGTCTTCCCAACACACGCAACTTAGCAAACACATACCGCTCGTCTGTCCGTGGTAGGGGTCCGTTGAACAGCATTGTATACGGTACTGTGTGCGCTGTTGCCATGAAGTTAGAGAAGACTCTTGAAGCGAGAGAAGGAGAGAGCACACCTATTTGCTATGGAACTATTATAATGTTCCAGCAGCCATCTGTTGTCGAAGGACATACGGTATAGGTGGGACTCTCCAGGCAGCTATTATTCTTTTATATAGCAACATGCAACGGCATGTGGCGAGGGGACCTCCATGAACTTTCTACAAATTGAGGTTTAGTACATAGCGGCATTTTGCGAAAACAATATTGTGAACCGACGGGATCTACGATCCATGATGTAGTGCATCGTGGCCACCCCCGCATCAGAGATTCAGGGGCCGCGTCGGCTGCAACTTCTCGTCTTGGGAAGTAAGGCCGACTCCGGCCGGCGAGCATGTACGGTGCACACAGCTACCCAGGACGACTGTAGCGCCTGCGCCAAAGAAGTAGAGTCGACGGATGTGACCATCAATGGCGAATAACTGATCCAAATATGAAGACAAGGTATGCAAGACTATAGTCAGCGACACGTCCGAGCTCACCGTTGTGATGTGACAATTAGCGCAAGCAATCGCGCGTCAAACATTAAAAGATCAACGGGGGACAGCTGGTGGCGGACTGGGTACCGCCGCGAGTGGTCGTAACGGACCGGTCACCGGTCTAGCTTAGAGGCAGTCAAACCTTTCACTGCCAACAAACTCCAAACTGCACCGCTGAGATCCGTCGGTGCCTTACCATTGTAGAACACCACTTGTGCAATTGACACGGATCGTAAAACTGGATTTATCGATATGCTTGGACTGAAGCCTCCTGCTGGCTCCGTCGAAACGACCACCGAAAGTCTCCAATGCCACTGTGGCATGAGGAAGGCGCGAAGGGAATGACAGGTATTAGGGGATAGCCCTCAAAATCCGACGCGGACGAGGAGAACGCTGGAATGGGTGATTCACGTGCATTGCTTTGTGTGACGGTACATACATTCATCGAACACAGGAAGGATCCACAATCTCTTGTGGTATAGGCCTTAGTAAAAGGTTAAAATGCTGACATACCTCCAGACTTCCATTGTTTTCATTAATATCGCCCTTCATCTCCGGAGGCGTAACCTGAAGGCATTCATCGAAGCACGCGACTGCGAACTGAGGTAGTCTTCATAAAATCCTACAATGAACTCTTCTGCTTTGAACCCGAAGCGATTGTATAATAGCTGATGGATGGGTGGTAAATGCAAACCCCAAAGGAAAAGAAGTGCCTGTGAACATACCATGGCGGGATTATTGGCCGAAACATGCAAGGTGATATCTCGATGCGGATTGAGCGAGATCAAGTGATAGAGCATGGTTCTAGATGGGGTTTGCATAGTCAATCATTCTGCAGTAACGTATCGACCCAGTCGGTCAATGACTCAGGGGATGCGTACGCGGCTATTTGCGAGTTATCCCAGCCCACCCGGACAGCAAGGTACGTGATATAGGTTTCTTGGGGAGAGCTCAGAAGTGCTACGCCAACCACCAGATGACCGTAGGTGGCTATGACAGTACAACGCTCCGGAGAATATTTCAAGGAGTCGCTAACTTGCAAACTTGATAAGCGGAGAAACTAAATATGGTATCAGGCGATGCTCACTGTTAATCCCATCCCAAAATACCCTGGTCAGGAGATCATGCACCTGTGATAGGTGATGTGGTTGAAGAGAGGTATAAGTGATGGGGATCCGCATTCGCCCTGGCTGATCCCGCTCTGCACTACGGTTCGCATGGTCAGCGAATGACGTCACGTGAAGAAGCACTAACTTACTGTACAAGAGAATAGTGTTCGTGGATGTCCTCTAAAAGGTTCATCCAAGGTGTGTGAGTTTCCCAATCGACAGCGATAAGACCAGGAACCTTCCGGGGCCTCGACCCATACAAGCGTGACGCAAAAGAATTCTCATATCGAGTAGACTGAATGGTTCTAAGATGATCGATAACTGCCGGTGGCGCCGAAGATAGCTGCAGGATCTGCAAGGAAGTCAAAGAAGATGGTTTTGAAGCGCGGAGAGGGATCTGAACGTCCGATCTGCCGCGCTGCTGTTATCACATCAGCCGAAGTTGTACCGCCGGGTGGCGAACAAACGTACTCTTTGAAGTTCCAATTTCCGCAAGATGATGGATTCGGTGACTGATGGAGTTCTAGTTCCCTTGTTTGTCTTGTTCACGTAGCCCAATATTGCAGTGGTCTCGTAGCGAGATAACGGCCGAACCACCTCACCCTAAAGAAGAAGCTAGGAGTATGGCACCGTAGACAGCATACGAGAGACTCCACCTACAGACTCATTGACATCACAGCGCTGGGCCCAGACGTCGTGTCGCGTCTGCAGGTACTCGGGGAGGAGACCCTCGACGACGGTGTCAAAACATCCGTCATCACGTGTTTCTTCGCCAGACGTCGAGCCAAGTTGTATTCCATACTGAAAGGCGTCCAGTAACCCCGATAGCGAGGCCGTTGCACGAGTGCAGCGACTGTCCAGTTGGGATCGGCCGCCCCGCATTTGTCTTTCGACGTTTGACACGCGACTGCTGCTTTCGCTGATCGTCATATCACTGGACTGTGAGCCCGGACGTGTCGCTGAGCTATAACCTTGCATACCGCGGAGTACGTCTTGTCTTCGTCTTCGTCTTCGGATGGGTTATTTGCCATCGATGAGTTATGTAGTATGCGGTTGCATTCGTCGACTTCCTTCGGCCCAAATGTGCGTCAGTGGCTGTACAGTGGACACCTATCAAAGCTATGAGCGCGGGGAGGTCTCTCAGCCAATATGCCTTCTGATAAGCCGACCACGATGCACCCACGACAGAGACCCTCCCGCGAAATGTCAATGCCGATACTAATCGTAATCATCAAACGGTGAATAGGTAGACCTCCCTCCGACGTCATGGAGGTCCTCCCGCCAAATGCAGTTAGGACCCGATCCTTCAACAGCGAAAAAGCCCCAGGTGTTCATCCCTTATGGTAAACAAACTCTTGGAGTGCTTTGTGATTGTGTGACACTAATTCATGGATGCCTTTCAGATACGCCTGTCGTGTCATATGATGGTTTTTCGCGGACAGTCATGACGTTTCTCCGCTGCACTTGCGTTCGTCCGCGGGCATGCATAGTTTGTGTTGGTGCGTACCGAAGCTATCCCCCTAGGCAGAGCGATTACGCACCAAGGTCCGGCATCCCATGCCCCCAAAATGCCACCGATATGTCGCAGCACGAGGCTTTCGAACAGTTTTTTCTTTCAGTGCTCGTGTGCTCTGCAAGGAGGGCGGACCTCCAGCTCTCCAATTTCCCACAGCCCGTACCCCTTGTACCGACCTCCTAGCTTGAAGCCATAAAAACAACGCCAATATCTCATCAAGGGATGGCATCCGACATCCTGTACCTTCTGGCAGAAAGATGTCTTCCAGCGACAGTTGGGCAGCTCCAGCGGACGATTGGGCATCGCTCTACAGTGATTTGTCTCTTTGTGTGGATGATGAGACTCAGTGGATATCCCTCTACGCCAATTCCGTACCTTTGGAGAACTATTGGACACCTGTCGACCGGATAATCCTTGGGAATGAGGAGGTTTCTGAAAACGATGGGACGCCAGAGCATCATTACGGCCCAGCCAGGTACATTTTTTCTTGTTGTACATCGGGAAATTTACCTGGAATCCATGGCAACGCAGTACTCCATTTACATTAGATATTGACACCCAGGAGATCCATACGGTGGACAACCAACTTGTGCGTGTCGACTCTGCAGCATATATCGAGAGAACTTTAACGTTTTGGAACACGCAGGACAACTATATCAACTGTCCAAAAACCCTTTGCCTTCATACGGATCCAAATGGCGATGAATGTTTTGAGCCCATAAATTGTGGTACAATGCCCGACCACTTCAGAGATAAACACGATATGAAGGGCTTGGGCCGCAGTCACCCATTGGTCTGTGAGTGGCAGGGTTGTAAACGCACAGTTGTGAGGCATAACTACGTCCGTCACGTCCGCGAGCGTCACCTCAACCATGATCGGAATTCTGCTCACAAACACCAAGCTATTGTACGCTTTGGGGGATGAGCTGGGAGGGAGTACTACGGCGACTGGATCGGCAGCTGCACTTTGGAAGGGGACAACCGGGAAAATTTGCCTTGCCCGATACTCTATGCGTAGCAGAAATCCCCACTATGTCTTATCTTCTTGTTTTGTGTGTATGTACTAATATGATTACGCGGGCGAATCGACACTCGGATCGAAACTTCTCCCTTGCGATTGGAAAGAGGAATGCATATAGTGGCAGCACGCAATTGGATTCAAAAGGCCTACTGTTCAGATGTTCGCAACGATACTTTTCAACTGCGACTGGCATGATTTCAGAATCGCAGCCCAAGTACTTGCTGCCAAGCGGAAGCAAGTGGTCGGCTTACATAAGCATTACAACTGGATGCCAGTCACGCCAAATCTTGGCTTTTCTCCGTCCTTTTTGCCACCCTAGGGCGTCCGCGCTTTGAAGGAGACGCTGTGGGAGATCGCCGCAGGTGGGACACCCAAGACAAGACATCCCGCTAGTGCGTGCAGGTTGCTAGATCGACGATCAAACGTCACAGAGAGACCGAAACAAAAGTAAGAGGGAAAGAGGAAGAGATACCACTTAGCATGACTGACAGGATCTATTTGTACGATCGGAGCAGACGGCGCCAGCTACAGCAGTACAACTGTCCAGTGCTGCATTCCTTCGGCACTGACCATCGGCGGCAAGTTCTTTGATTGTAAGCTCACCTCCGCACCAGCCAAAGTGAGATACCTAGTTTCGAGCCTGTAAATCAAACCGTTTTACTATGCCATTGTGCCATGGTAACCCCCGTTATTGCAAGTATGTACACCACGTTCAGATACACTCTTCATAAAGCTCACGCCACACGTGAACATAGGAGGGTAGTGCTTCTTCAGGTAAGGGCTTGCTGTGGGGAGTCTGTGTCATCTAAGAACACATGATCTTATGTGGCTGGCGTGCACGGACAACTACGATTATTTTAAATAGAGAGCCGGAGGTCTTGCCCTCATCAACTTGCTCACCGGCGAGGGAAAACTTCGCATTCCAGTATTAGCATTCACATCGCTCAATAGTCTCGCTAACGAGCTGCTGCCTTCAAACAGTTGTTTCTCGACCTCCTCGAATAATCGAAGTTCCCGGCTGCTCATACACAGCATCATCTTCCCACCTCCACGAACGTTTGGTTCCACGTGTGGCAAAATAATCAGACCTCCCCTCCACTCATACGGCGTGGCTCTCGATTCCAGCTGAAACATTCCATGGAACTCGGTCAAGGAGGCCCTCCTGATGTGTCGGCGTCAACAGCTGGCCAACCCTAACCAATGGAGATGGATGCAGCGGCGGAGGGTATCTGAAGGTGAGGTCACGCACGCTTTTATTACCGTTTTTCAACTGGTCGTTCGGAGACGGGGGAAAGGCTATACGCGAAGGCTAATACTTCTGTACAACTTGTCCCCCGACCTCCTGGAACACGGCGACATGACATTAATTTCATTTGTGTTATCTTTCCCTGCGTCCATCCATCGGCTCAATGACCTGATCTACGGCTTCTGTAGGCCATGTAGCTCGGCTTTCCACACTGAATACCGACCTCCAGACCTCCCGTCCTCTCGCCCTCCCACCCTCCAACCACCTTTGTATCCCTTATGGGGCGCAGTGTATGCTATAAGATAAACAGCTTGCCTAAATCCTGCGTTTCAAAGTGCAGCAACTCGCGCCCCTGCAGACACACAGATATGTCCACCGGAAATGATGGGCCCGAACACTACAACGGAACGAACAGCAGGTGCCGTTTCTGATGGATCAAGTCCTTTCTCCAGCTGACACGGCGATGCAGGTCTTACGCTTTAATAAATGCTATCCCACCACCAGCTGAGACACATAAAGAGCCTGTACGTGTCTTCTAAGTCATGTATATAGACAGTACATTTACGAAAGGAGCAGAACCAGTTTGCTGCTTGTCCGTTCACCCACTGCCTTCATACCTTCCCGGATGGCGCAGAGTGCTATGAACTCATCAACTGCGGTATGGTGTCGGAACACTTCAAAAATCACGGTATCAAAGACTTGGGGCGTGGCACTCCTGTTACTTGTAAATGGCGAAACTGCGGATGGGGACTTTCGAGGCACAACTACGTCCGTCATATTCGGGAACACCACTTGCGACATGTCCGGGATGTCGGCCATAAACCTAACCCTTGGTAAACCGTTTCCAGTAAAGATTGACATGCTCCAAGCTGACTCGGATAATACACAGAAGAACTGAGTGCCACTGAGTTTGGGAAATAGTCCAAAAAATGTATATTTCCTGTTCGTACGATGAAAAGGTGTACGTTGTAGTATATGAATCAAATGTTCTGATGACAACCTTGCTATCGTGTCGCACAACGGCCGTAATTTGGTGGGATCTGAGTGGGATGGTCAAATTTGCAAATGGCCAGGTTTTTTCCAATCACAAGGAGGTCATTATTGTTAAGCGGTACCGATCGACGTAGGTCGATCCGGTCGGCGTAGCTCGGTGCGCGTCATCGATCAGTCGGTCACGATCTTCCATCAAATCGCTTGCGTCACGAATCTCACTTCCGGGTGCGAGTCTATATCCCTACATTGGATATACAAACGGAATGGACTTCAAGCTGAAAATAGACGTACCATGTAAACACCCCCTTGCCCAGGTAAACAGTGGTTTACTCTTGAACTTCTCGGTTGCAATGCTGACCATATCCGTCGCCCTGCTAATGAGGCAAGAGCCCCCGGTCCCAGCTCTACCTTGCCAGTAGTAGAAGACATGTTGAAATTATGTAGAAGAGTCTGCTTGACTGCAATGGCCCTGCGCGAACCGAGGAGTGGAACACATCAGAGTGGGAATTATGGCTCGCATTACGCAGCGACTAAAACGTGGATACTAATAAGGGTCGTAGAATGCAATTGCAATACATCGTGTTTGGAGTTAGCAATGAATGTGCAGAACACCCCAATCCACGCAGTCAGAATATGCAGGGATCTTGGAATCCGATGTATGGCAGGGAAATAAACACAGTACGCACTGGAGAGAAGTACGTTTATTCCGAACATTAGTAATTTGCGTCACGAGCTGTAACGGTATTGGACTAACCGTGACGGACGACCATCTGCACCACAAGTTTATGGTCTCTTCTGGAGACCGACGTATGGGATTAGAATCATTAATCGGTTGGAGACCCCTTGCAGCGTTGCATGCGGACAGTAATGGGACACTAGGCCGCTTCGTCGCTGGAAACGGCTCGATGGTCACCGGCTGAAAACCATGAACATCCAGTTTAGCCTTAACACCGTTTTGGCAAATGGTTCTCTACTTAGCAAGTACCCTAATGATCTCGTTTTTCGGCAGTCCTGCGTATCCATAAGGTCATCTTCGAGGGCTGTCAGGCATTTCGTCGCTTGAAGTCTCTTCGGTTCCAATTTGGGAGGTTCATTGTACGTTCTTACTACTCAAATTTGGTTGCTACATTGGTACTCGCGACAAACGTTAACTTGTACATGGAATGACTATTCAACATTCACAGAATTCGGCTTTCCTGCGTTCTACACTCCGGTCAAACCTTTAAACCTGAACAGTTGCTCTTTCGGGAAATTGGTGCTCGGGTTGATGCGAATGTCAATCTGGAAAAGCGGCATGAAGAGCATGGCCCAATACAGTTGTCATAGTAACACCTACTCTATCTTCCTCGGCGGTCCAGACAGTCGCAGGTCGAAAGACGCTCCGCTGAATGCTGTCGGATGCATCAAGTTAAGTATACCTTCACTTTGAAGTCTCGAACGCAAGTGGACTTACATGAATCCATTTTCAGTTTCTTGGAAGAAGATGCCCCATGCCTGAGCGGGTCGGTCCCGGACGGCCACAACACTACTCCCTTCGATTAGCGTTACCCTGCCGCCAATTCTGATTTCATAGGTTCGATTTTGGGGGTCTCCAACTCTCCTAAATTCGAACTGTAGGTGTTTTCGTGACTCATCAGGTATTGAGGCGTGATGTATGAGCCCAGACCTACCATTGGCGGCTGGACACCGGGTTCCTTTGGAATGAGGATGAGGGGTACAGAGCTGTCCTCGATGGTGGGAATGCCAACGTATGGTTCCCCCTCCTTGAGGGAGATGATGGGGGATTCAAACCGATCGGCTAGCTCGCCAGACATGACGAAAACGATGTGTAGAGGGTACTCGGGTCTCTTCTGGAGGATCGACTCCGCTGGTCACCCTTTTATCCTCTGCCGGTTAAACAATGGACTTAAAATGGGGTGGTCATTTCACGGGAACCCCCAATGCTCACCTTCCACAAAACGAGCGTTCCAGTGTCTGTCAGTCCATGAATAGGACATCAGCTCCAAACGGCCACCTACTCGCTCCATGGTATTGCAGTCGTTAACTCCGCCGCACCTTCCGGCTAGGACTCAACTTCTATTTGCATCGAGGGCAGTTGACCGCAATTATACCTTTGCTGGCCGCAGATTTCATCCAGAGAGCACACAATTCGCCCAGTCAAGTATGATTTCGGTTCATCACAAGAAATCGAAGTTGACGATGGAGTCACGCCCTTGACATGGTTCATATCACGGGTGCCGCATGCATATGTTCTAACGTCTGAATCGCCTTTCATGCACCATTTACATACCGAGCACAGCAGCAGCTCTCAGGGGAACTTAGGACCTGCGTTCAATCAAATGCTCATTTTTCCCCGTCCAGCGTCATTACATAACGCCTGTACAGAGTTTTATCCCACGAAAGTAGGAACGTGTGTGATATGGGTTGCAGAGGCTGTTGCCTTTAGCATGTCCAGGTGCAACTATTGCAGACAAGAAACGTAGGTGATAGTATTCAATTTCCTGCTTGCTTCGCGGCCATAGCGGGACTTCTGCTAGAAGTCGAGCGATTTCGTCAATTGCTTCTCAATTAACTGGTTACAGTGGCCATCATGGCCTCAATTGCGCAGCCAACTGGGTGTCATTTTGCGCCCAAAGGTTTACGCCCATATCATGCCAGTTAGGATCATTCAGTACTCTGGATACGGTTCAGAAACAAGCGGGTGACCACAATGTTCTAGTCATCGGGCAAGATCCACCAGTTACTTCGGGCTGCACCGTGATATCATGGGATTTATGTTCAGACCATGTCGGTTTAATGGGGATTTGGTCAGGCGTAGTTGAACACCACTAACTTGACAAACGAGGAGAAGCAGGGACGACCCCCGCCTAATAACAGGGGTTCCGTTTATGGACTGGTGCGGATGACGAACGCCGTGATACAGGCTTCCATGCTCAAAATATCAATCTAAGCCCGGAACTCCAGGTCAAGTCTCAACATCCTCCACTGGGGAAGACTTCGTTGCCCGTGTTCTTTGAGATGGCCGTTCACGTTCGTCGATATTCTTCTCGTGGCTCCTCAGTCCCGGAGTATAAAAGGGACAGGACGGCTGCCCATATCTTGCAGAGTCGATATACTGTTGACAACTGATACTCATCGTGCCGAACCCCCTCAAGCCAAGCAAGAATGCTGTCATCTACTCCTTGGTAGACGGCGAACCCTACGTCGGAATTCCCCCCACCAAGCCTGTCACTGTGCCAGTTCTTCTTCTGGCGAGGGAGTCTGTCAAGGAACCCCCGACAGTGAGTTTGGTCTCGCGTGCGCTCGAATACATTACCCAGCAACTTTGACAGTCCAATATGGAGAAAGTTGGGGAGTGTACCTATGTGATCAGCGCAAATGGATACAAGACACAGGACCAGAATGGCCTTCTCGTTGGTTCCATTGAGGAAGAAGCTCAGAGATGGCGCATTGAGTACGCCGAACGCCATGACGCCTACATGTGAGTTAATCGTGTCCGACATGTGTCTACAACGTGACGCCTGACATAAAAATAACCTAGCGTTGCGAAAGAGAACGACCGCGGCGTCGGATGGGTCGCTCCGACTGACGAAGAAAACCAGGTAGGTTCTGTGACCTGGAAATTGAAGGATGACATACTTACCTATCGCATTCAGGTTCAGGTTAGGCTGCTCATTATGGGACCATCTGACCCACCTTACTACCCGTCGAACCAACTGTTCAGGTTCAAGTATCCTCGTGAGTGATCAGGAGGTGAAGTAGATTGTGTATGTATCATTACGTTGAAGGCCAAAGTGCCCAAGTCTGTTACGTTGTGTGAAGTGTGCTAGTGTACAACAAGAAAATCCAAGTGCATGCGTAGTTCTGTGGGTGCCAACGTGCGCGTTTGAGATAAATGAGAGTAGTACAGACTCCCTGCATATGCACCAGGACATTCAGAACATATCGGTTGGTGCCCCGAAGTCACCTCAGCTCTCCTGAAACTTGACGTGGTTTGACGATTCCCCGGTCAGCGAGCTTGACCTTAGTACACTAGCTTCTCTCCTTGAAGCATTAGATCTATCTCATCGGTGATGCTAACATGTGATATGGATTGCAGTGGTCATTTGCTCGCTGAAAGGCAACCCGGTCGCACGGACATTCATTGTGACATCACTTACTGCCCGAGGACAGAACCACGCGTATCCACCCTGTCCAAATTTCTACTTCTCGAGAAAGTCACCGCAAACACTCGTCTCAATTTATGCCCTTCACCCCACAGGGTGGCAGCAACGGGTTATCCTCTCCCCCTTGACGCCCACACTATGGACGACTGACTATGTCATGCCATCAAACTTTTCCTGCGTTAATCTGATGTCCCCTCCAGCGCAATTTTCAAGTGTGTGCATGGAATGCCTAGAGTGATAACATGCAAGGAAAAGACTAATACATGAAGAGAACCCCAGATCAGTGACGCACCTGGGCGTTCATTTCATTGTTTGAGGTACTTGTTCCTGTGGAGCTGGACCTCTGACTTCTGCCGTGGACTGTAGTTGATGTGTCTGGGTCTTTCATTTCCGGTGGTGGACGCGACGCCATCTTACGGACTTTCAGTTCGTTCTGGACTCTGCCTGGAGGAGGTGGACTGGTACGCCCGAGTCTCTTCAGTCCAGATAGCGGACGCAACGCCATGACACAGGAAATATAGTTGGTGCGCCCGGCTTTTCAGCTCAGAAAGTGGACGCAACGCCCAATGCCCGTAACCCCCAAGCATCACGTTTCGTCAGTTCCCCAGTATTCCCCTTTGGACTCAGTCCCAGAGTATAAAGGGACGTGGACGGCTGCCCATATCCTGCAGAATCACAACACTGTTAACAACTCACTCACCATGCCAAACCCCCTCAAGCCGAGCAAGAACGCTATCATCTACTCCATGGTAGATGGCGAACCCTATGTTGGAATGCCCCCCACCAAACCCGTTACTCTGCCAGTCCTCCTTTATTCGAGGAAATCTGTCACCGAGCCCCCGACAGTGAGTTTGGTCTTACATCCCGCGCTTGAATGGGTTACCTACCAGTTTCGCAGTTCAATATGGAGAAAGTCGGAGAGTGTACCTACGTGATTAGTGCCAGGGGCCACAAGACACGGGAAGAGAATGGTCTTCTCATCGGTTCCATCGAGGGCGAAGCCCAGAAATGGTATATCGAGTACATGGAACGTAATGATGCCTACGTGTGAGTTAACCGCGGCCGACGCCTATTTGCGACATGGGGCCTCATGTAAAATGACGATGTCTTAGCATTGCGAAAGAGAACGACCGCGGCGTCGGATGGGTTGCTCCGAGTCCGGAAAACAAAGAAGAACGTGAAGAAGAACGCCAGGTACTTAGAATCTACGTACCAATGCAAGCGCAAACACTCTGAGCTTACACATCACCTCTTAGATCCGGGTCAGGCAACTCATTGTTGGACCATCCCATCCACCTTACCACCCGTCGAACCAGTTGTTCAGGTTCAGGTATGAAGACTGATGAAGAGGTTAGGTGGGTTATGTGTACCGGTACAACGGCCAAAGTGCCAAGGTCTGTTATGTTGTGCGAAGTGTGTTAGTGTAGGATACGAAAATCCGAGTGCATGTGCAGTTTCTGTGGGTGCCAACGGGCGCGTATGAGATACATGAAAATTGTTGGAAGACGACATCTGCCAACCAGTTTGGGTCCCCTGCAGTGGCTGACACACTTCACATTCAGCGTCGTTTCACCGTATGCGCGGGTCAGGACGTCCAGAACTACCCCGTGATCGATATGATCCCTATATGACCGATATATACACCGGCTCCGAAGCTGTCGCTAGCCCCGGTGGTAATCATACTCGATTTCCTGCTTCGCCACAGGAACGCAGCAACACTCTTCTCGAAAGTCGGCCTTGCAGACCGCCTTGAAAGTCCTGACGAGGACGAGTCCCATAAAGCTGCCAATTCAATATGTGCTAGCGATGGATGCAAAAAATGCGACGCATCCGTAAACAAAATTAACGATGCATCTTGAGTTCTCTCACATATTGGGCGAGGAATCGGGTAAGGAAACGGATGTAATATATGCCGTAGTCAGTGGCGGAAAATCGCGCCACATCTATGCATGAACAACAACCGTGACTAATGATCCCTCATCATTGAGGGACTGACAATGCGAACTGATTTGTTCTTGAGCTTCCTAAGAGGATGCCGAAGACTCACCCTCCTTGTGACCTCAGGGGTCACTGCTTCGTTTTGAGTGCTTTAACTTTGCGCAGGGCGGCAAGAGATGATACGAAAGCACAAGCATGATTTGCTGGACTTGATTAGACGTCCTTAAGGAAGCACACAACACAAGGGGGACTGCGACTGCTCCAGGCTATAGTCAGTAGTCGCATCCCTACTATGCTTACCACGCCTTGCATGCGTCATAAGCGCATCACCATGTCCAGTGAGTTATTACTTGGCCGTTAGCATCAGTTGCTTCCGGTTGAACTATGATCAGTAGTGGTACGCGCCGTTTTGATGACCTCCAAGCGAACGCTGCACTCTTTTTGCCAGACGGAGATGACTCCAGATCAGTGACAGCCCTCGGCGTAGTAGGCTGATCGCTTCTGATCTAGAGATGTTGGGAGCTTCGCAGTTATCAAACGACATCATTTGAAGAACTAGGGAAGGTCATGGGGTCGTCCCAAGGACGTGGGTATGTGGAGCAAGAACTACTGTCTTCTGGGCTCTGTTGCAATACAGGTTTCCATACCTGAAATATCAATTCGGGCCCAGAACCCCGAGTCTGGCTTGAACATCCTCCACTTGGCAAGACTTCGTCGCTCGTGTTCTACCAGATGGCCGTTCACGTTCGTCAGCTGCAGAACGTTCTCCTTTGGGCACCACAGTCCCAGAGGATAAAAGGGACGAGGACAACTGCCCACGTCCTGCAGAGTCGAAATACTTGACAACCCATACTCATCATGCCAAACCCCATCAAGCCAAGCAAGAATGTTATCATCTACTCCTTGGTAGATGGGGAACGCTACGTCGGAATTCCCCCCCACCAAGCCTGTCACTGTGCCAGTCCTTCTGTATGCGAGGGGACTCTGTTATCGAACCCCCGACAGGGAGTTCGGTCTTGTCTTCACTCGAATACATTACCCAGTAATTTGACAGTTCGACATGGAACAAGTTGGAGAGTGCACCTATGTGATCAGTGCCAATGGATACAAGACACAGGACCAGGATGGCCTTCTCGTTGGTTCCATCGACGGAGAAGCTCAGAAATGGCGCATTGAGTACGCCGAACGTCATGACGCCTACACGTGAGTTAATCGTGTCCGACGTCTTTCCGCAACGTGGTGTCTGACGCACAATGACCTAGCATTGCGAAAGAGAACGATCGCGGCGTCGGATGGGTTGCTCCGACTGACGACGAACGTCAGGTAGTTTCTGTGACCTGATAGTTGACGGTTGTCATATTTACCTATCGCGTTTCAGATTCGGGTTTGGGTTCTCATTGTGGGACCATCTGATCCACCTTTCTACCCGTCGGATGAGTTGTTTAGGTTCAAGTACTCTGATTGATCAGAGGTTGAGTGGGTTGCGTACGATTGTGAAGCCCGAAGGCCAGTCTGTTGAACTGTGACAGCATGTATTATGAAAACCTGAATGAACGTTCCCTCAGCGAGCGGTGTGGAGTTCCAAAGAAAGCTGTTAACTCTTCGAGTGAAATGTAGGGTCCCTACAACACATGGAAGAGACACTTGCCAGCATCACTTCGTAGTTTGTAGTACATCGTCAAGACGCACTGTTGACAAAACCGTTGGGACTTGCTGTTCATTTTAATATGCACCTGCTTTGTAGCTTGCCGTCCAAAAATTGGCCTAGTGAACAACAGTAAGACATGTCAATCCATCCACCGAGATATTCACCAGCCCCTCAAGCGAAGACAACAAAACATATATCGATCCACAGTAGATACAGTCCATGACAACATTGAAACACCGGATTGTGAAGACGAAGGAGCGTAGGTGAATAGATATATCATGCATGAATGAGGGTAATATGAAGTGATGAGATGAAATATGAAAAGCAAAGAAGTGTCCGCGATCATAGCCTCGTTACAGCCTTGGAATCCAGGGGCATACCTGCAAGTAAATACAGTCGATCAGTGACGGTCGGCCAGGCTCACGATTGAGAAACTTCACCAGAGGGGTCGATACCATTCCGGGCAAGGAATTGGTTGTGGCGAATCAACCTAGCCTGGTCAAAGCTGCAGGCGGCGCCAATCAATATCTGGTGATATCACACAAATCATGGGCAGAAGACTCACTCGACTCGTTCCCTCCGCATTATTTCCAGTACTTCCTGGGTACCACGTTCGTCGAGGCCAGCTCGCGAGTCACCATCCCTGATGTTTGCCTCGATGTCGAACATGGACGAAGACAGACCAGCTTGGGCCTGACCGGAGAAAGTCGACAGGGGGGTATAATGGCTCAAGCTTGGGAACATCGACCTGACCTTGGCGGGAACATGGGGAAGGATGGCGGAACGGTAGTGGTACCCAACTGCACTCAGATCAGTCATGTGTCTGGAGTCCGCAGTACAAGGACGACTCACGCATTACCAGCAACGCCAGGGCCGCGAGAAGGGAGAGGTAGAAAATCATGGCTATCTGGCCGAGTATTTGAAGACTCGCAAGCGAATAGATGTTGTTGGCGACGTCTTCTTCGAAGCGAAAGACAATACACGCACAAGCGAAAGACAAGGAAATCGCTGTTAGCACTGCCAGCCTCAGGGAGTATTAGGGGCACAGCCACATCTAAATATCACGTGGTTAACGCGAGGCACTTGGCCCATTTACGCGCTCAGAACTCCACCTCATCTTCCCAAGCGAATATCAGACGTGAATCGTGTACAACATGTCGAATAAATTGTTCGATGTCTTGCAGGTGCAGTCACCCGTTTCATAGCTCTGATCAACTAAGCGCTCTGATTCTGTCGACAGTCAGAATATTGTCCTCCACTGGACACCTCCCTCTTAGCTGCACTGATCGCAGACTTGCCACCAGACAACAACGATGGGATTTCACCCTCCCCGCATCAGGTTGCAGCGCTTCGGGCCACTCTGAAAGAACTAGCCAGCCAAGCCACCGAGCAGTACGAAAGCGAACTGCGCGATGAGCTTGATTCTGCTCATCTTTCTTCTCAGTGCTTCAGCACCGACGAGTCGTGCAGCTCCCCCGGTTATTACGGAGAAACTGCGGAAAGCTTGACTTCTGAATCCTCTGTACTTTCAAACCAATCTTTTAGCTCCCCACTGGGCTTTCTGCAAGCCGCGTTACCCCACATACCATCTTCCAAACTTAGGCGCGCCCTGAGCGAAGCTGGCTCCACCGACGTTAGCGACGTCGATATGGAATCAATCATGGAAAACATATTGACAAATGAATACATACGCGAACTCGAGGAACGTGGCCTTGACGGCTTAGACGACGAAGACCCTTCGCACCTTATCAGTGATGATGCGATTTGGCATCGCATGGAGCCCAGGAAGAAGGTTGCTTCACCTTCAACAAACGGGAACGTTACGAAGAAGAAAAATGTTCGAAACAAGAACAAGACTATCCCGCTGGTTGACATACGCCAGAGACAACATATACCATCACCTGCTCGTGAATCACTATCCACGCCGGCACCAGACATGTGGACCCAGGTGTCTTCCATTTCTGAACATTTAGCCACACTCCTACCTTCCAATCCACCCAACTTTTTTCAATCTTATTTCCATTCCCCGAAACATACCTCACCCGTGAAGGCTGTTCGCGCCGCTCTCTCCGACATCGCGGAGAGAATGAAAAAACCAAAAAGTCCCACTCCCTCGCCGCATTCGGGAGATACTCTTGTTCTTTTCAATCTTCTGGACGTTATCTGCGAATCCCCAACTTACGCCAGGCTAAACCCCCCACAACGTTCCAACGTCTATTCCGACGTGCAACTCGCACTTTCAGCGACGCAGGGGCGCGGCGATAACTCCCTCGACATCGTTTGGCTTCTCCTTGAGCTGGAGCTTGATGGCCAAACAGGCAGTCTGGCGATGGGCGTGTACCACCTTCCGCAGCCTCCCCTTTCCCCGAGCTCACCTTCCGCCGGATTGTCTTCGCCCGTGTCGCCAAGCAAGTCCCCAATTCGGGTGACGAATGCAATGTCACAGTCACCTCCTACCGCCAAATGGATACCTCATTCGCCGACGAAAGCAGCGATTTCCAATGCTCCCGATTGGCAGACTGTTGCTTCTCGAAAACCGCCCCCCGTCAACCATCGGCGATCGCTCTCGTTGTGTATTCCTAGCTACGGTGACCATCCATCTGGTGGGACAGCCAAGGTACGCGGAGCTGGTAACGGTTTTGGTAAGGGCGGCAAGGGCGACGTGGGAGAGCTCACCTCGGGACGGCGTAACATGCGTAGACATTTGACAAAAAGTTGGATGAAGGAGAACGAACTATTGCGTGAGGCATCGAGGGCTTGGCGTAGTGGAAACGCGAAATCCAGGGGGGGCGAGATCGCTCAGTATTTTGCTGAGAGAGTGAGTATTCTGCCCGGTTCCATTATCTGACCGAGGACATTCCTGAGTTGGCTGTTCGTGTACTTACGGCAATGGGCCATCATGCAGGCGCGTGAGACGCGTGAACGTGCAAAACGCGAAGCGCTTGACGAAGCCCGCCGTATGGTTGAAACGAAACGGTGCTACGCCTTTCTGTTAGTTCTCCTGCCTCCCCTGATATATTATCCAGGTATAAAAGCACCGATTCAAACACGCTTGACATCCACGGAACCAACGTGTGGGAAGCCACCACGATTGTCAAGGAAGTCTTGCAGAGGGAAGGTTGCACTCCTTGCAAGTACATTCCTCTTTGCAACGCATGTGGTTTTTCTAAGTTATTACATTGCGCTTTTCCTTTCTTTTGTTTGCCAGCTAAACCGCTCAGGATAATTACCGGCCGGGGTAACCACTCTGCTAACCGTGTCGGTGTACTCAAACCAGCCGTCAAGAATGCGCTTGTGCGCGACGGATGGAATGTAAGTATATGGGAAGGCGGACTGGTCGTTCGAGGACGAGGCGCGTGATCTTGTGTCTGTTGAAGACGACAAGTGATGTCAGTAGCGAGGGTCTGTGACCCGATCTCAAACGCACATTTCAGTGTATTTGCTTTCCTGTCCTGTAGTGCTTGTTGCGTCCGTTTTCCGCTTCCCTGTATGCTTTGATATATCCTGGTGTAACGTAGGATCTACCCTTCTGCTTGATTTTGTGTACAATAGTGTGGACAATGGAATTACATCGACGGGAATACAGCGAGTGGAACGGCTACACAGCAGATGGAGGAAAGCAGAAACGACTCATCCCGTCATCAAGTCTTCCGGGTAGGGAACGCAGCCGTCTGAACGACAATATTGAAATTATTGATGTCTATGTGAGAGGACGAGAGGCTTGCGATGAAAGCGTACAATAAGAAATAACCGTCGCATGTCGAAGACAGCTTCTCGTCTCTTGGTATAAGGTCAGAATCAAGCGGACCATAGACAGTACTCACCTATGGTTATTGATATGCGGGGGAGGCCCGAAGAGGCCTCACCTACACCCCACCAGGGGTTGTCTGGCAATCGTACCACATTTTGCCAGCAATCAAATTTAATTCATCGGAGGATGCCTCCTTCCAATTCTTCGATGCTGCCTCGTGGGACCGTTCATTAACACTAGTTCTCCGGCTATTGTCACCACGAGGAGGCGGTGGGGTCGACTGGAATTGTGGCAGGCTACCAACGAAAGGCCCGTTGGGGGAATGACATTCCAAACCTTCAGGGGTATGAAGAGTTTTGGATGAAGGTCTGAATATACGTAGTCAGCGAGCGTTTTAGAAAGCATTGGAAGTGCATATACGCGGTGGAAGGATTAGGCTGATGCGTAATAGGCTTTTTTGGACGGCGCCGGTCATTATCGGACGCAGGTATAATACCCTTTCGTGAAACACGTCGCGTGCGATTCTCTTTAAGGGTACTCGAGATGGTGCGTGAGGATTTACTCCACCTGGGCTCCATCGGTTTTTTGTCTATGGAAGAAGATATGGGTCTGGTAATAGTGCCGGGGCGAAAAGGCGAGTCCAGAGTGTGAGAAACGTTCATCTCTGTGATACTAGAGCTCCGTAGTATGGGTTTAGGAGGTTCTGCAGACCCCAAACCTCGCGTATCAGACGAGGGACTTCCTCGTACCATTTGTGCGACCACGGCGCGTCTATTAGAGTGTTTAACCTGCCCACCTGTCCGCTCGTTGGGTGCCGGTCGCGTGTGGTCGTCGCACTTGGTCACTCGAAGTGTATGTCGCGAACGCTTAAGCAAGCGCCGCACCATTTCTGTCCCGCTAATACTATGCATCTCTGGTGGTAATACTTCCAACGGAGAAGACGGAGTCTTCCCATCGTCGTGCGCCCGCCGTCGTTTCTTCGCGTACGTGACTTTGACTTTCATCGCGCCTGCCATCATGGTGGAGAGTAGACAGGGGCTGATTACATAACCAACCAAACAACCGCGCCAATCCAACAAACAATGAACGCAATTCCGTACTTGCAGTTGCAGTTTCAAAAAGAAACACAAGACCTGTAAACGAAAAAAAAAAAACTGATATCCTGACCCATCACATCCAGCTGCGGAAACTAATTGAAGCTCGGTAATATTGCGGTTACGCTATTTGACACCCATTGATCACGACCAGCCATGGTCGTCACGCGCAGGACGCCGGTGGTGCCTTCACCACCGGTATCACGATCCCAATCTTCGCAGGGGGTGCCACGTCCAGCGCGGGCGTCACTCGCTCAAGATGTAACCAATTTTCCAATGTCATCCAGCCCATTGGCTTCTGGAGAGCCCCATGTTGCGACATTTGTTGCGGAGGCCGGAGAACGCACGAATGCTTCTGTGAGTATTCTTCCTCGATGTTCTGTCACCATATCATGCTCGGTTCGTTCCCGTTCGTTGAAAGATGCCAGATGGGAACCGAGTTCCTTCGTTTTCTTGTGCACATGAGTAGAGCGAGAAAGGCTCATTGTTCGTTCACAGGATAAGCATTCCGGCAAGAATAAACCAAAGAAACATCGAAAGGTAAGGTTTCTAACCTTTCCATTTGCCAATTCTCCCACTCACACACGACTAGAGCAAACGCCGGAAGTCCAATTTCCAGGCATTCCTTGATTTTCTCACCAAACTCCTCCTTCTCGCATCCACGATCTACGCCTTTACCATCTGTCCTCATGAGCCCCACCAGCAGACGCCCCTTTGTCGCGGCTTGTTAGAATACAAGCGGATGGTACTTGACCCTTACATCATCCCTCCAATACAAGCCGCCTTCTCACACCCATCCATTGCACCCCACATTAACCGTGCAAGACCATATATCTACCACACGATCCAAGCCACTGTGCCTATCATTTCCCATGTACAATCGGGGTGGAACACGCACGTGATTCCTCAGTGGGAGAAATACGTGGTCCCTGAATGGAATAAGCGTATTGTCCCGCATTGGCATAAGCACGTAACTCCTCGAGTGGAGCTGGCTGAACAGACTCTTGCACCGTATCGGCGGCGGATCGAACAGGTGTATGAGCAAAATTTCGCACCGCATGCTCGACTTGCAGTCTATAATCTCCAGCGCTGGCAACGCCAAGCGCGCCCGTATATCCTTTTGGCAGCCTCCAAGACACAAGAGGGTTACTATGCCGCGAAACCGTACACTGCCCCTCTATTGAAACGGGCTGGACACATTTTACAACAATTTGCCCTGTTCCTTCAGGACCAGCGGCAGAAGCTAGTCGATCCCCACGTATCCAAGATCTGGGAAAAGGTCAAGGAACTCAGTAGGGGGCAACAGACCGTGGAGGGATTTGAACCCACCGCAGAATTCCTGTCAACTGAACCAATGCTGTCAGTTGGAGATGAACTGCCTGGGGAACAAGCGTTGTCACCCGAACCAGTACCGTCAATCACTCCAATACCCGATGAGACTTTGACCTCCACGCTAACTCCTTCTGTAACACCTATCCCCCAAGATGGATCGAATGAAGGTGAATTTTCAGCTAGGGAACCTTCTGTAACATCCGAGTATGACACCCCTATCACCTATGACGACGACGCGGTCTCAACGACCGCAGAACCTGCCTATTCCGTCACAGTGCCTGTAGAAGCATCTACGGCACTCCCTGAAGTGGAAACCGTTCTCCGCGGAGAATCTGTCCTCCTTGAAAGCCTTCATGCATCAGAACCATACCCCTCTATGATTGCGTCGGTCACAGAAGAACCAAATTCATCTGCCTTCTCCCCCACTTCTGCTGAATCGAGCCGTCCCGCTGTTACCAAGCCGACAGGGCCGACGGAAGGTGCTTTGCGGGCAACGTTGTCCGGAGACAATGATGACATTGACATGGATGCATTCTATGCCGAGCTCGGCCTCAATGAGCTTCCAGCTGACCCTCAGCAACATACGTTTGTTCCACCCCACCTTGTTGAAACGGAAGAGGAGCAAGCCGAAAGATTACGTCTCAAGGCTGATGAGATCGCTCGCAAGCGTGCTGATATTGAGGCGCGTCATGCCAAGTGGGAAGTGGAATTAGAAGCTCAAAAGGAACGAAGCACTGCCGAACTCCAAGACCACTTGCTTACGTTGCGTGAAGCTGCGGCGGTTGAGTTATTTTCCTCGACTGAAGTTGAGAATGCCCTCGAAACTCTCGCTTCCGAGGCAGAAAAATATATCAAGGGTGCCGAGATCTATCTCAAGAACCTTAAGGCCGAAAACAGGAAGCGCGACGAGAAGCTCGCGTTGTGGGACCGTGTCGTTCAAAAGGTAGCAAGTAAGTTTACCGAGAGGCTGCACGCTGCTGAAGCAGTGGTAAATGGTCCATACAATGTTCTGCTGCAACTGGAACTGCAAGAGGTTCGTGACTACCAGTGATTATCTCTTCCGATCCTTATGCACCGTTGGTTCTGCCAGGTTTCCAGCGCCACAGCAAAAGTGCGCGACATCGCAGAGAAAGGTCAGGTGGACCTAGGGCTAGATTATGCCTGGTTAGATGACGTGACCTACAACGACTGGCAGCGGTATCACAGTTTGATGGGAGGTGAGTGTGTCCGAGAAACTTTAATTTTCAGGGTTTGAATGGTCGTTCAGTCAGTGACAACTATGCTGAAGAAGCAGCCTCAATCCAGAATGGCACGCATCCTCACGTAGTGGTGGCTAATCCATTGGCCCCTATCACTGAGGACCTGCAATCCGAAGTCTTGGATATTGTCATTGGTTTTGAGACGCGCCTCAGACGATTAAAACGGGAGGGCGAGCGTGCATTCAATGGCAACGGCGCTGTACAAAAGGAGGAAGAAAAAGGTCCCGTTGCGGAGCCTGAAGTCTCCATTCTACCCATCCCTGGCACCGATACGAGAGAAAGGGCGCAGACATTTATTCCTCCCGTGATCATTGGCCGAAGTCAGCAAGAAGTTTTTGATGCACTGAACAACGCAAACTCTCTTGATCAACCAGCTGAAGCCAGTGCTGATCCTGAAGAGGTGGTGTCAAGTCTTGTGCGGGAGGCGGAGGTTGAAGAGGAAGTTCATCCGGCAAGTTCCGGTATGCTTCACACTGAATTATGATAATATTGCTGTGTATTATCAAAGAGTGACCTGACTGTGCTCTGCATTTTTGGCGGTGTATTGACTATGATCCGGGCTCCCTCCATTCTAATCATTTTGTCCTATTGAAACTATGACTTGTTTTCCAGTGGATTATTACTTCCGGTCGCGGTGACCTCTATAGTACTTCGGCTAACAATCTTCCGTATCACGCGCGATGATCATGACTGACATTGGCTGACGTTGGTCAGGGTGCGAATAAGGCCACGCGTCCACGTGGTCCCCATGCAAGGTACGACTTGGCCAAGGTCCAAATGAACATGCAGGTGCACCATCGAGCGCGGGCTGTAGTAACGGCCTTCGTGCTCGCTTCTTTGACTGTCACTCTGACGCACTTGCCACGCGGTCACGTGTTGTGGTACTGGCTAAGTAGGACGTTTATCAAGAACTGCTCAAGCAGTTATATTTGAACGTATGAATCGCCCAGGCTCCCTGGCTGCTCAGGGTTACGATATAAACATTGCCCTCGTTGCCACCTCATGAATGCCCTTTGCCATGCATAGTAAATATTGCGCTACCCTGGACTAATACCCAGGGCCGCCCCTGCTCACATGGAATTAAAGTGGTAACAGATTCCATAGATCTGATGACGACATAGGCATCTCGGACGACCAGTCATTTGGACCAAAGTTATGGGTTGGCACGGGGACGCCGTAATCGTTGACCAGGAAACACCTACGAACCCACAGCTGTCTATGCATGTGTCAGGAGCTTAGGGGCAGTACATGATCCCGGCCCAGAACTCCCATGACACGCGCGCTGAGTCAATACAGCGACATGTGGAGTCAGTTCCTCAGTCAGTCCTCCAACTGCAGATCAGCCGATCGATCATAGTACTGGTCGCGGCGGAGGTAAATCGAGAAGGTGGCGCAACGCCCAAAAGTTACCAGGGTCGAACGTTCACGGGATTTGGAATATTCTCTGCTTCGAAGGGTACTATGCATGAAGGCCACGGAGGACATCGTGTACGGAACTATCGACACGTAACATACGGAGGCTCCAGGCGGTAAGTAAACAACCAATCAGATATAACATATCAAGCACCCAGAGAGGGACGTTGGGATTATTGTAAGTCGCTAACCGATGGTAAAAAAAGACGAATGTCTATTTTCATTCATCGCCCTCGCCATCTTCGATTTTCCACCGTAGATTGGACTCGTAGAATTTTATAAGCTGTGCGAGGGTATTTAGCCACCTAAGCAAAGCAGACGGAGGCTCCGTACACTCTGTACGTACCTTCTGAGGGAATTTCTCAGCACAAACGCGTGAATTTTCTCGCTTTCTGCCCATGTCATTCCTCCTAAAAAGGAAAGGTAAGTGTGATGGGCGACCACGACCAAAAAGTTTGAAGCATACAGTGTAAAGTATACAAATAAATCGCCATCGGAATTGCGCTCGACAGTATCCACGCTCTCTATGAGGTGCTCCCAGGATGAAACTTGCATGTGCTTTTTCATGTTTCCAATTGGCTCCTCTTCAACCGATTCAGGTTTTTCTGCTGCCTTACGAGAAGTTCCCTCGCTCTTCCGAGCCTTCTTCTTTGCTCGTGGTTCCTCATCATCGGCTATCACCTCGGGCTCTGATTCTGGTTCCGCTTTCTTTGGTCTACCACGCTTTTTGGAAGCTGCCTCGGCCTCAGGAGAAGAATCCTGTACGAGCGATTTCCTCGAAGGCTTCGCCGCAACATTCCTGGGTCTGGACTTGATGGGCTCTGATTTACGTGGACCGGGCTTGTTCCTCCTCCGCTTGGCCCAGAAGTCCTGGATGAGTTCCAGCGCATTCCTGGTGTCCAATCAATGATGAGGTAGGGCCTGTGACCTTGGGACACGTACCCTGCATCGTCTTCGTCCACCCAGCTATTATGCTCCTCACCATAGTTCTTCCACTTGACGAAGTATCCCATTCTGCCCTGACAAGCCCCACCACGTTAGCTGACTTGAGGCATGATGTATTGTACTTACACCCGGGAACTGTCCCTTTTTGGCATCTAAAATGGCCTCGATTTCATACTCCTCCTCCCCCTCCTCTTCCTCTGCGCCATCCTCTGCGCCGTCCTCTGCGCCCTCCCCTGAAGGTCCCACAGGCTTGACCTCCTGTTCAACCTCTGAAGACTCTCCAGCGTCGGTTGACATTCGCCGTGCCTTCTTTGCAGAATACTTTTTCGTCGCAGAGCCAACGCGATGACGTTCTGTCTCGCTATCTGAAGTAGTGGCATCTGCAACGCGTCCCATTGTTCTCTACGAGCGCGTCGACCAATCGACAGAGGGCAGTTCAACAAACGGGCGTGGGGGGAATGCGTGGGAATTATTTTCAAACTCCGGGAATGGTACACAAAGGCGGCATCGGCCTCTTGGGTCACGTGGTCATTGCCCGGCCTCAGCGTAGCGGAAGTCAATACAGTCGGGTGCGTACTGCAGTTATCAAGCTTTCAGGGTTCGCCGTTGAGTTTGTTCACCGACGCCGGGTGAAACACAAAAGCTATAAGCCAATGCAACCCGCGAACTCTATTGTAAAATTATCGCCCCTGTGGATGTCGGTGGTACTTCAAGTATGAGCGCGCATCATATCATAGGCTAGTCATATGATCATTACGGCGACTTGGCACCGCAAGGGGAGGAAGACCAGATACTGTATCCGTGCCAGAGAAAATGGGTAACAACTACAATATCTACATCCTTTTCACTGTCTACGACCAGGACTTGCACTGCGAGCACGGCCTTCACGACCTCTTCCTTTTTTGGGACCCGATGGTGGAGGGCGGACGAAAGCGTAATCGCACTGAATGACCTGCTCCAGTAACGGGGTACCAGATGCTCCGTCGATGGCCGCTTGAGCTTCTGCCATTGTTTCATATTCAACCAAGGCATAGCCCTGCAACGAGTAAATTGATACCATCAGCGGGGTAGGACTGCCGTAGACTTACTTTGACATAACCAGTACGACGGTCGAGATTGAGGTGAAGATTTTTTATCTCTCCGTATTCGGAGAACTTGTCGCTTATATCTTCCTCCGTGGCTTCCTCGTGTACATTTGTGACTAGGACAATCCATCCTTCCACAGCTGTGCACGGGAACGGCGATGGATGTGAGAAAGGAAAGGTCTCAACTCGCGGATGAATCACGGATAAAGAAGACCACGCACAACGTGCAGCACGCGTCTCGGAATCCTTCGTGTGTGAGGATTCTACTCGGTCATAGGTGGCCTCTCCACCAGCTGTCCCGGCATCATTTCCACCTTGAGTTATTGAAGATGTTACGTGTCAGATATGCATGCGTATACACCCCAACCGACGTACCTGGCCTATGAAACCCCCTGCCTTTTCGTCTCACGGCACCTCCATCAGCAACTGCTTACAACATGTCGATTGCCGTCGTGAATAGAACGAACACAAACTGTTGCTTACCCTCATCAATGTTCATTTCATCGTCCGACATGGTGGTAATGTGGGTGGCGGGTAGAATGTGACAAGGTGTGACAGGCTGAGCACCGACACCCGGCACTGCGGACGCGGGCCGTGCCGGCTCGGAATTTCGGGGCCGTGACGGGGCCAGGGTCTTGAAGGGTCTTGGTCACACTCACTCTCGTTGCTAACGACAGTACGTTAACACAGAAAGAAGGTTCGGACGATTTTCAACGGTGTGCTTTGTCTCATGGTTTTGTTCGATGACGTCCAACACAGCCTGTGGTGAATGCCTAGAGAACTTTCCGGGCCTGTCACTTTCACACGTAAGATGGCCGAACTTGGTACCCGCCATCCTCTCCCTGGCGTCCTTGGAGTGCCTGCAGAGTCAAGATGTGCCTGACCTTGCAGCGCCCTCAAAAATGCCGTTCCCATAGATCTATCTACTTCCTCCGAATCAGTTTTAGCTTGATCCAGTTCAGTCAATGGACTTGGCTGAACGTATTTAAAGCAGGTCGAGTTACGCCATGAGCTCCAGAACACTAGAACACCTCCCCGAACTCATTCTACTACATTGCAACGCGTCTCATTACATATGAATCCTGTTCCCGCCATTAACCATCCTTGTGCGCTGTGCTGCAGACCCACGTCTATGTGGTGCAGTCGCTGTCAGAGCACGTGGTACTGCACGCCTGAGCACCTTCAGACGGTGAGCACGCCGTTAAATTGTGGCCACGCGACTTAGACGTCTTATGATGTGTCCGGGTGCTGTTTAGGACTGGCCACGGCACCGCAGAGAATGCGTCCCTGCCACACACGCGCAAAACTACAACATGATCGCCACTCCTCCGCCTGCTGAGCAGCAAATGGTCACTGTGTCCGCTATACTCTTTGAGCCTGAAGAAGGTGAGTCGATTATTTCCTCTAATCCATCCGGAACAAGCTGGACGTAACATGACCATTCCCAGAACGGCCTAGGATCATCACTGTCAAGTGCCGTCCGCCCCAAGTGCCATCCCAAGGCATGTGCCCTCAGCCCCTGATTGGCATGCATTTCCCGCACGAGCAGACGGAAAGCATCGTGTTAACGCAAGGTTTGAACGGTGAACCCTTACGGTTTCCTCTTCACCTGTGGTACTCCCCGACCGCACTGTCTCGATGTGCTCCGGTCAACCGGGCAATTTACCACATCACGTCGGGTGCCGCTGCGAAACACTGGTGTGGAACTGTGGTCGTACTCAAGTTTAACGGATCACGAAGGCAGGGATACTCTGATGCGGGGTCGAACGACCTTCCTGCTCTGTCTGCATACTTTCTGGCATACAAGTAAAAGTTTTCATGTTATTCTTATAATCCGCGATCGCCTAGACTTAGATGTGGCATGTGAGTGCCTTTGTTGGTTCACCTATGGACGTTCAATTGACACATGTGGCCCTCCAGTAGCCTTTCTTATACTATTCTTCTATATATATTGCTTTCTGTTCGTTAAAGTTGTAGCTATTCCCTGTTCTCCTATCCTTAATGTCGACTACCCATTGACACGGTGCAAACTGGTTTTGCACGCTAACGAATGTGATAGATCCGAATGATTGGCAACGACGTCTGACAGTGGTTTCGTTGTCAACGTTGCCCAGCACCGCACTTCTTAGACATGAGCACGACAAAATGACGCGTAACAGTTTGTGGCAACAGCTGTCCGTGTCAGATCTCGATTTCTTTGCACGAGACGATGATAGAATGATCTACACGAGAGCATGGCTCGGTTGCTTGCCATCCTTGATTAGGTAAACCACGTGGATGCCACCTTTCCTAATAAGTTCGTTTAGGCCGCAGGTCATATTCAAGCACGATGTTCAGCTTCTCACAACGACCAGAGCATGATCGTAATCAATCTGAGAGGGCCACTCAACACCCTGCCATCAAAGATAATGATGACGTCATGGACATTGACGATCTCGAGACTGGTGAATTCAGGTTGACTTGTCCAGGAGAGACAATCACATCAGCTCATGATTTCATGCGGTATGTACGCCATGCTGAAAGCGTCTCTGTGTAGCTGAATGACAGGGGTCCGCAAAAGCGGTCATGGCACATACGTCGACGACGAACTTGTCATTGCATCTGTCGCGGGGACCGTCCAACGAGTCAACAAACTTGTGACTGTTCGCGCGGCGCGTAGTAGGTAAGCATTTCCATTCTAATGGCGTATTCATTTCCAATTCACACATGTGGGTGCAAAGATATAATGCAGAAGTCGGTGACTTGGTGGTAGGGCGCATAACTGAGGTTCGTTGACTCTTACGCCAGACTAATGGCATGTTTCATTTCAAAAATGACTCCCAGGTTCAACCGCGCCGTTGGAAAGTTGATGCCAATTCTCGCCAAGACGCCGTGTTGATGCTTTCGTCTGTCAATTTACCAGGCGGTGTGCAGGTTTGTGATCGCCGTCGTTGCTTCTCAACGTCTCATGGCTCGTGCGCTCGCAGCGGCGCAAACTAGAAAGTGACGAGCTGCAAATGCGTACGTTTTTTGAAGAGGGGGACCTGCTGGTTGCTGAGGTCCAGGCCTTCTTCGCGGATGGCGCAATGTCTCTCCATACCCGCTCTCTCAAATTTGGCAAGGTGTGTGTCCCCCCCTGATTAATATCCTATTCTCATAGGATTCTCCAAAGCTGCGGAACGGGCAACTAGTCATTGTACCCCCTGTGTTGGTGCGGCGCCTCAAGTCACACTTCATAGCCTTACCATGTGGTGTTGACCTCATCCTGGGATTGAATGGATACATATGGGTATGTAAGCACATGCAAGATAGTGACCAGGGGGAGGAAGGCTTTGACGCGGAAGCCGTATACTCCAACCAAAACGACGTGGGTATATTATTGGGTCTACATGCCACCACCACCACTGACACTCCCATCATAGGAAGTTGATGGTCCGACTCGTATCGCAATTTCTCGGGTTAGCAATATTATCCGTGTTTTAGCAGATCATTTCGTTCCCCTGACAGACACGCTCTTTCTTGAGGCATACAACTGGCTGATCGAGCAGGAAGTAAACATTAAAGATCTAATACTGGGGGACTTTGGTGACGCAATGGTAGCAGCCATATGTACCGTGAGGTAGTTTCCATACTTTATTGTCTTAGATATCCTCTTCATCCTCTTCATCCTCACTGGGTTCTACATCAATCTCGTCGTGATCACTGCTTCCATCTTCGTCTTCTCCGTCCCCTTCCTCGTTTATCGTGTCATCAGGAGCGGGCTGCGGTGGCGGTGGTGGCGGAGGATGATACGCTGTACCTGTTGCCCCATTCGCCATTTTCCTGGCTTCGGCGGCCCTCTTCAACTCTTCTTTCACATCGTCAACAGGTAGTAACTGTTCTAGGGCTAGATCTTTCCAGCGCAAGGTACCATTAACACCGCCGCCCGCATAGCCCATGTCTTCAAACAGCGCCCTAGAAGTCGGATCATAAGGCGGTCTTGGTCTTGCTGCCGGATGTCTTATGTTGGTTGGATTTCCGTAGGGGTAGGAAGGGTGCACCTGTGAAGGCAAGACTACGGTGTCGCAGTCACGGATCAGCTTGGAGAGAGAAAAAACCAACAAGCTGGGCTTACTGTCTGAATCATCGGGATTTGGCGGGATCATGTGCGCGGGGATGTCGAGATCTGTTTGCCAAGGCCCGATGACGAGCAGATTTTGCTCCGGAGACCAGACTTACCTTCCTCAGGTAGTTCGCTTGGTATGTAGTCGGAACTGCCTATCGTGCCAATGCATTTGAGCTCGAATTCGGACATGTGCAAGTAGCAATAGGTAAGGTCCTGTTAAGAAACCAATGAATTAGTTGGCCCAACTCGGGACAGTAGGGTCAGGGCAGCACGATTCATTGTAGTGGCTCAAAACTAACCGTCATGATGGGCGTCTGTCAAAGGGACGCCGCTGGATGTCGGTGTCAGTTATAAGCCTTAGTACAATGTAGGCCAACTCGATCAAGAATCGGTTGAAGGTGGCTGTGCACTAGTACCAAGCCAGCGCCGTTGCACCAATATAGTACTAGCAGTGTAATTGTTTAGTTTCACCACGCCACGGTGGTCCTTCTTTTTCTTTGGATTATCTTCAATATCTCGGTATTATCATTAATGCGCTAGTTTTTCCAACAGCACAAGTAGTCTTCCGATGTTTTGACGTTTGCTAACTTGCCGGTCACTGGTAACCCGAAACTTTGGAAGAGGTAAGCAGTGCAGCACTTGGCTTCTGCTGGTCCCCCGAGACGGACAGCTCTCCACTACTTAGTGGTAACTTTGACGGGGGTGGGCACGTCGTCTTGGCATTTTGCATACTCATCACCCCGTCGTTAGGCATGGCCACCCATACCCCTGCAGAGCATGTATTCTTAGCTCACGTGCTATCAACCTGATTCCTAAAACTTAATCGTACCAACATCTACATACTGCCTGTTTAGCTGGGACGAAGAAACGACAGCAACAGCCACGTGTTGTAATCTCAGCAGGCTGTGGGAATTCGCGAGGCTATCGCGGTGTCGTACTGCCTCTCTTTGTTTACTTCGGACTATTCACATCCGACAGCTTACCCACTCACTGGAAACCATGCTCGGTACTGCGATACGGCGTACAGTTTCATCGGCAATGCTCATGTTCCGAGCGTCCCAACGCTGCGGAACCGTCTCACCGCAGCAGTCATTCCAAGAGCTCCACATCGCCGAAGATCCGACAGTGCCCACAACATGGCTCAGTACTTTCTAGCACTGTCGTGGAAAGTTCGTCTTTGAAGGGTGTGTGTTGTGGCTGGCGTGTACCCTCTGCCCCTGCAGGTATTCACCGATCGACGCCCAAGCTCAGGTTTCGTTTGGTTGTCAGGTCTATGTAACCCCCGTTACTAGGACCAGTGAGCATCGTAAGCGTTTCTGCAGTTTCTAAAATTTTTTGAAGTGCTCGGGGCCGTAGTGTGGTTCCCATTTCATTTAAAGTTCTTATTCCGCGCGGGTTGTGCCACGTTCTCCGTGTCGCGTGGCGTTTTTTGCCTTCAGTCCTAGGTGAGAAGTCCCAGCAACATATTTTCAGTACTTTGATGCAAGGTGCCCATTTGGGGAAGGACTGAAAGTTATCCCCGGAGCCTCACCTACAATGAACTTCAAGGGAAGACGAGCGTCAAATTTTTCGCTCATATTCGGACGTCGCTTCCATGAGCACGTCCTTCTAGCGACGCCTTATCTATTGAATCGCCTTTGGGCGACAACAAGACATCCTATGACGTCGTTCGAGGCCCTAGGGTCGGGACATACCATAACGACCACTGACACGACGGAGGGCTAGGGGTCTTGCAGAGCCTGTGCTCTCAATATGACAACCCCTCTCCTGTCGTGTACTTTGGCGAGAGTGTTCGGGAAATAGACGTTGGAAGAGACTCATTAGTGGATGGGCCTGAGCCTTCGTAATGCCAGGGGCATAGTACGTATGACGAAGGATTGGCCAAGGTTGACGCCCCTCGTGAGTCTTCTCCCGCCTTCTTACCCCTGGACTACATAGCCTGAACCCTAGATCGTTACTTGATTCTGCATCTTTCGAACGATCGGTTTTTCAACGACTTCGACGTCGAAACAGATGGGCATCCTCTAGACCGCCATGAAGCCTCCGGAACTGCAATTCATAGCAGGGATGTATATTGTTCCTGCGCCTCGCACGAATCACTTGTTCATCTCAACCCCGCTCAGCTCTGTAGCTCATTGCTCGTTTCAAATGAACACGTACTTTTGGGCGCACGTTCGTTTGTTCGCCGCTCGTTGGATCCGGCGGTTTTCCTGCGCGCTCCTAGCCCGTACTTTGTCCGTTTCGCACACTAGCGAACTGGGCGTATCCGCAAACTTGGGATGGGATCGGTGTTCCTACTTCCTTAGCGTCGCACTAATCGTTATTTGCACTAGTGGACATCGCTGGTTGCGTTCCAAGTGTCAACATTGAGGTTTGCAGGGTTCATAATTGAATGTACCAGATGGTTACGAGTACGTATACACACGCCACACATGTCACTATTAATCGAGGGAGGGGACTAACTCCTGTTAGGTGATCCGTTATGATCCCAGCGTGCTCATGGTTGAGTCGTTTGGTCACAAGGTGGGCGTCCAGCTTCGCGTTCAATGTAACAGCCCTCCGCGACTTGTCATCATCGCGTAAGCCACAGCCCATATCGCAGATCACGTGCCAAGTGCATAATGTTCGATTACGAGGCACGGCCAGGTACGTATGTAGTATGCATTCCAGTGCTGCTGAGGCAGGAAATTGTCACGGAATGGCGTCGTCATTCCCTCGCTTTGTAAACCAACCTACTTATGAAGTTGGGGGACAATGATCAGCCTGAACAAGTGTGGAGGAATGGCGGGCGTTCCCGACCCTCGAGCCACGATTCATTGGAAATACCTTTATGTGGTTCAGCAGGGTTCAACGCGGGAGCGGTTTCTAGGACGCACGGAAACGGCCCTTGGAACAGACACGTGGCGATCTCCAGAGGTTTCGACATGGACTGCGGGGAGTGCGACTGCGTAAGGAAGAACAGCCGGGTTGATGAAGACATATCTTGGCGTGATATTCCACCGAGGTCGTGAGACTCATAATCCTGGTGATGAGTGCATGTGTCAATTAAAGGCCACGAGGCATGATTTGTAAGTAAGAGCGAGTTCATTCAGAGTCAAGTAACGATCTCTGACCCCCCTGTAACTCACGAAAACCCAACCCCCTCCACCGACAATGATGTCTTGTACCCTAGGTTTCTTTTTATCATGCTTTTTCTGCATGTACTAGCGATGATGCAAAACATTTATCCTGTGTGGAGCGCTAGCGCGGGTTGTCGCGGATCACTTCACAATCCTTACATCTTTCGGGGTCACTTGCATATCGATATACCGAATCACGGTCCTGCACTTACCTTTTTTTCGAGCGGCATTAGTATAAAGGTCGCTACGTGCCCACTTTCCCCAGGCAAAATTTTGCACACCACATTCGTTCTTTATTCTACCATCCGTTCTTTTGACTATGCTCCTAACCTCTACGCTCCTTCTACTTTCGTTACCCCTAGCTGCGTTTGCACTCCCCTTCCAACCTCGTGCGGCGGAGTCAGACAAAATCGCGATTGGATTTTACACTGGTTGGCACTCTGATGATGTCCCACTGACCTCTGTCAGTTGGGACAAGTATAACACCATGATTTATGCATTCGCGTAGGCTATCCGTTGATTACCATTCAGATGAGGAACTAACCGCTATTTAACAAGAACCACCACTCCAGACGTCCAGACGTTGTCCCTGAACGGGTCAGATGGATCAGTACTGCCTGAGTTCGTGAAACAGGCGCATGCACATGTAAGCACGGTACAATTCAGGTCGTTCGCTCACCATTAATTTTGGTGGAAGGGTGTCTCTGCACACATTAGTGTTGGAGGTTGGAGCGGAAGTAAATATTTTTCCTCCCATTTCCAATCCGCAGAAAATCGCACTGCATTCGCGAACACTGTCCTCGATTTCCTCAATGAATACAATTTGGACGGTGTCGACTTTGAGTAAGCTGCCAGTTGCTCGTGCGCGATTAACCTTTTCACCCCATCTCAGTTGGGAATACCCTGGCGTCCAGGGCGTTGGTTGCAACGCTGTTAACGCTAATGATACGGCGAATTTCCTTGCGTTCCTTCAGGAATTCCGGGCGGCCGTATCTGAAAAAAAAATCACCATCTCTGCAACTACACCACTGCTCCCCTTCCGGGATGCCAATGGACAACCCTTGACAGACGTATCGGAGTTCGCTAAAGTTCTCGACTTCATTAGTATTATGAACTACGACGTGAACGGTCCCTGGTCCCCTCGTCTTGGCCCTAACGCTCCGCTGCAGGACTCCTGTGCAGATACTGCTTACCAGTTCGGCTCTGCAGCCACCGCAGTGAAGGCTTGGCGTGCAGCTGGGTTCCCTCTTGAGAAGACCGTGCTCGGTGTCCCATCTTACGGCCACTCTTACTACGTTACCCCATCCGATGCGTTCGCAAACAACACGAAGGACTTGGCCCCTTATCCACCCTTCAGTAAAAGCAAGACCCCTCTTGGTGACGGATGGGACAATACTACCAGTGTTGATGCCTGCGGGGTTACACAACCTTCTGGTGGAACTTGGAACTTCCGTGGCCTTGTCGCCGGTGGCTGGTTGAGTACCGATGGAAAGCCCGCACAGGGTATCCACTACAGCTATGACAATTGCAGCAGGACTGTGCGTGATATATCTTCCGTCATTTCTCTGACGACGTTTTTGCTTACCACATTCCTTTGCTACTAGCCCTACTTGTATAATGAGAACAGCCAGATCATGATTTCCTACGATAACGCGGAGTCCTATACCGCCAAAGGACGGTTCATTGAGGAGCTTGGTCTTCGTGGGTTCTCCATGTGGGAATCTGGAGGGGACTACAACGATATCCTCCTTTCGGCCATCAAGGGTACTTTCAACTGATTTGAGTACAATTCTCGCGCTACAAACTTTGTAGGTATGATCTCATAGAACAGTTTGAACTCCCCCCCCCCTCATTTACTGCAGTTAGCTGACTGTCGAATATCGTAGGATCATTAGCTTTCTAGTATTTATCCCAGTCTGAAAACTCTGAAGATTGCAATCGATACTCACTATTGAGAATTTTGGTTTCCGAATTCAAGCTGTAGTTGTTCCATTGGTATGGTAAGCAGCCAAGATAGCCTGGTGGATGAGAAATCGGTTGGACCGGAAGTCAAGAACAGAAACAGAAACTTTCCTACCCGACCCCTTTGCAGTGACTCAAAAGCGTTACTTTCTGCACATATGTCCACGTAAGATTTTGCTTGTTTGCAAACGCAGTGTTGAACATTGCTTTCGAACACGTTTACACAACCAACGTAACGACATTGACCGGGAAATGCTTGCGTCGAGGATATCTTCGCTCTAGCGCGTAAGTCAGGGAGCGGGCATAAGTCGAATTGGCCGAGCGGAGTGATTTGGAATCGAGACGTAAAGTGAATCAGTGACCGATGGAAAAGACGCAGATGCCGAATAAGATGAGTTGATGGGTTAAGGCAGAAAGCTGATAAGAAGACTTACCGGTAGAGTCAACCTCCGTTCTTTGCTTTCGCTCTCTTTGTACACGAATGCATGACGGTCACTATATATACTACTGGTAAGTCACCATCCTTGTCTTCTGTGTCCAACCGAACCCCGAACGGCAGTGAGGAGGTTGTTTCCATCGGATTTTTTGCCGTTCGGATTCTCCAGTCGAGAGATAGCATTGTAGGTACCTCTACAACCTGGCATCAGTCAACATGTTTCAAAACCACCTTTGGGGCCAACGACCCCTAGGGAAAACGTGTTTTTGTCCTGAAATCAAGCGGAGCCTATCGTATTGAGTCATGAAACGAGCACAGAAAAAGAATCACTAAACTTTGTTGTTTCTCGATCATTGACAGTTAGTGGCCTCTGTGCAACACTTCATCAAGGTGAAAGCTATTGATTGGGCTCAATTGGGTTACCGTGGATGTCACCACGCACTGTGGCGCCCACGGTGCTCTATCCAGAGACAGCTTGCCTTCGTACACTAAGAATTACTACTTAACTCAACGTACTTGGCTTTTTTCCGTTGTTCGTTTGCCTCCCCAGGCCCATCTGCAACTTTGAAGGGGCGCAGTGTATGCTATAAGATAAACAGCTTGCCTAAATCCTGCGTTTCGAAGTGCAGCAACTCGCGCTCCTGCAGATATACAGACATGTCCACCGGAATGATGTGCCCAACGGCTACCACGGACCGAACAGCAGGTGCCGTTTCTGATGGATCAAGTACTTTCTCCAGCTGACATGGCAATACAGGTCTTATACTTTAACAGGTGCCATCCCACCACCGGCTGAGACACGCAAAGCGCCTGTACGTGTCTTCTGAGCCGTGTATATTGACAGTTCATTTACGTCTTTGAAAGAAGCAGAACCAGTATGCTGCTTGTCCGTTTACCCTCTGCCTTTGCACCTTCTCGGATGGCGCAGAGTGCTATGAACCCATCAGCTGTGGTATGGTGTCGGAACACTTCAAAAATCACGGTATCAAAGACTTGGGGCGCGACGCTGATGTTACTTGTCAATGGCAAAACTGCGGAATGAGGGGTTCGAGACACAACTACGTCCGCCATGTCCGGGAGATCCATTTGGGACATGCCTGGGATGTCGGCCACAAACCTAACCCTTGGCAAACCGTTTCCAGAAGAGATTATCATGCTCCCAGCTGACTCGGATAATACACAGAGGAACCGAGTGCCACTGAGTTTGGGGAGTGGCCCCAAAAATGTACATGTCCGCTCTCGATTTAGTGACGTAGAATTGTCCTGTGCGCATGTTGAAAAGGTGTACGTTGTGTATGTGAATCAAATGCTCTGATGACAACCTCGCTATCATGTCGCACGATGGCCGCAATTTGGCAGGATCTGAGCGGGACGGTCGAACTTGCAAGCCGCCAGGTTTTTCCTGGTCACAAAGAGGTCAGTACTGTTGAGTAGTGTTGATAGACAGGTAAACGACATGGGCCGTAAACCAAAGAAAGGAAACAAATGGGTCGATCTGGTCGATGTGGCTCAGTGTGCACCATCAATGAATCGATCACAATCCCCCATCAGCTCACTTGTGATCACAAATATCACTTCAAGTGCGAGTCTATATCCATGTGTTCGATATACAAATGAATGAACTTCAAGCTGAAAATCGACATATGGTCGACTATCATCATCCATGTGAATACCCCCTCTTCAGGGAGACTGTACTTGGCTTTACTCCTAGTCAATTTGCGCTGTACCACAACTTCTCAGTTGTAATGCTGAGTTTACCCATCTCCTTGCTAATGTAGTAAGGGTCCCCGGTCCCAGCTCTACCTTGCCGGGAGTGGAAGACATATCTCAGGTATGGCCAGGGTGGGCATCCAAATATTAGTCAAATTATACGAAAGAGTCTTCTACGCATTCGACTAGTTAGCTAGGGTGAGGGATGTACGGTGCTCGCAGGAGAGAGTCTAAAAATATTCGGTGAAGTACTATGTCACTAGGGATGCTGCTTGAAAGGGACTGGGCAAAAACCAGTAGGTTTTCCGGCCCGAAACCAAGACCCAAGTCATTGAGCTGAGCTGTGAAGCCCATATCATAAGGAGTCAGCAATGTGTCCAGCGAAGCTGGAGGCCTGGGAAAAAGGAGCTGTAGACTCACTTCCTACTGTACCAGGGGTGTTATGCCTGAGTGCAGTGACTTCTTCAAATGGAATAGGCATGAAGCATGTGAGGGGGAGTCTATGGGCTGAACATGTTGTAACCCATATGGCTCAGTTATTGCTGAGGTCTGACAAAGGTTCACTCCAGCTGGTGATCCTCTAGGGTAGTCATGCAGGGAGAGAACAAGGATGAAAGCAAAGGGATGAAGCTGAGTTGCAAGTAATCGAAAAACTGAGGATACATCAGTAGAGTACATGAGTTTATATACTCCTAAGTATGAGTACCATACCAGTCATGATGCATATCCACAGTAATCAACAAAAGCATCAGTCAAATAGATAAGTCAAAGGGAGTCATACAGTGTCATATGATGGGGATTGTTAAGGAGACAAAGGCTATACTGGCTGTGCAATCAATGTGCAGCAAGGAGCCAGACACCAGAAATATAGTACAACATCTGAGCAATATAAATGAGTCAGAAAGAGATAACGGAGCAAGAAGTAAACATGTTGTCCATCAGAGAGGGTGGTGGAACACTGGATCAAGTGAAAGGCACAGTCTTGACAGGTATTGGAAATACCTTGACAGTGGGAGATCCAAAGGAGCCTCACAGCATGTAAACCCCTAGGATGGTGGTGGTTATGAGAGATGTGACAAGGCATGTGATGCATGTGAGTGTGAAGAGTCAAAAAAGGAAAGACCCCTGACACAGGCTTAACATCACCCTCCCTCCAAGGTCCTCAGACCCTTGAGGATGGGCCAGATGTGTTGGTGGGGTGCAAGGAAAGGGGTTGATGAGTAGTATAGATGCAGGAGCACATTCAGGAAGCAACGGGTGACAGTGGCAATGGAGAGGGCAGTTCCTCAAGGGCTGGAGTAAAGTGGGAGCCATGTCCATTGTGGCAAGACCAATGTCCCAAGTAACAACATTGGAAACACACATGTTGGTAAAGGACATGATCAGTGGGGACAGGGGACTGCCCTCTGAGGTAAAACCAGAGCTGGTCAAGAGGGACCAGGACAAAAGGGGAAGCAGGGATAGGGTCAGTAGTGTGGATGGCATTGTGGTAGTTTTTATGGAGACCAGCCCATGACACATCCTGCAAAAGCACCTCCCAAGCAGAATTGTGAGTCCCAGTTCCAAGATGAGCACCAACCTCTTTATATAAGTTGCTCACATTGACATAAGTCAACTCCAGTGCCTTCCACTCTTTTGACTTCTTTTGTTCCACTTCTTTGTCTTCTCTGCATTCACAGGAGACCGATGATTCCTCTTGTTTTGGGTGAATGCAATCAAGAAGTCAAGAAGCAGGAGGGGTGAGGAACTTGCTGATCTGTTGATGCCAAAGGTGATGGTAGGTGCCACTGGTGATGGCTTCTAAAAGCCCCGATGAACTTCTTTCCAGCATATTGATCATTATTACTTCTGATAGGGGCATGGTGCCACTAAGTTTCTGGGTGCATATCTTTGAGACAGTGGAATTGATTATGTCTGTTGCTCTGTAGATTTCAGACAGCAACCCAAAATACTTAATCTGTTCTGGTGAGCACCTGTCAATGTGGTCCCCATCATGGAAGACATCAAGTGCCCTAACAATGTCCAGGTAGTCAGCTGCTGTGATTGGTAATCGTGGCTCATCATCCCTGGCAAGGGCCACTGAGGCAAGGAGGTCGAGGGCTGTGCATTGTGCACTGTTGGAGTAGGTGGTGAAGGTGGTGTGTAGGTGGGGAGATTTGGGAACATTGGAGGGGCTGGTCCTGGTTGCTCGACTATCAGTGTCATTGTCAACTTGCACCTTACCCTTTCCCTTTCCCTGCTGGTTACTGTCCCCACTGAGGGAGACTCTGGCCTTGGGGGCAGGGACCCTCTTAACCAAGAAGGATGCATGTGGATGTGGTCGGAGAGGGCAGGTGAGAGGGGGTGATGTTGTGCAAGGCTGCAAGACAGGGGATGAGGGGTATGAGTCAGGAAGGCCAGTGGTGGTTGTTGGAGGTGAGGCTGGGGCATAGACAGTGATGGGGGGGATGAGGAAATCATCCCTGTCAGCTGTGGGGTCATAAAGGGATTCTGCAAGGGGGAGGTTGGCATAGTCATTTTCTGTGTTGACAGAGCAAGGGGAGTCCATTAGTTTCTGAGATGGCGAGTGAGCTTGTACTGGTTGAGTGCTTCTGATGCATGGTCTTTTATATGTTCTTCAGGTTTCCACATATTGGATGAATGTGGGAAGCCCTTCCACTTGACCAGGTACTTGTGTTTACCTCTGCACCCATCAACCTTATGATTAATAATTGACTTGACCTCCCATTCA